AAGTACAATACTGCCTTTTACATAGGCAGTACTGCATTGTGGACTTCTCCAGTCTCCTCAGCTATTCACTGACTGAGGGGTGAATCTATAGTGGGCCCTAGAAGCAGAGACCCAGTAGTAAAGAGATCCTGTGCATTCCTACCCTAGTAGTAGTTTAAATTTCTTCTTTGCTCTTTTTCTTTTCTTCTCTCACCCCAAGAATATGAACCAGTTGCCTGCAGAACAACCCTTCACCAACCTGTGCTCTGTTTACTGGACTCTTTATGCCCTGAGGTTCACAGCTCTCCAAAACAGACTTGTGTCTTCCTAGTTGAGGGTATTATATATCTTCTCAGTTGTAAAATACCTCTGCCTGGTCCACGTGAGAGGCACCAATGTACTTCTGGCTTACAGAACCCAAGCAGTCTTCTTCCTCACCGTTGACACTGAATCTTATAGTTCCTAGACAGATGAAGCCAAGGATTATCAATCTAATTCCTACTCATCCTGCCCTTATAGGGTATATCTTCTAAAAACAGACATAGTAAAATATTCTTCCAACCTTAGTTTAAAAAAAAGAAGAAAGAAAACCCTTTGTCTTTAACACTCATGTTCTGCTCGCTTTGGAGAAAGTAGGCCTCTAGAGGTCAAGGAGGTCACTTAAAGCTGCCCCAGATATAAGAAATAGTTTTCAGGGGCTTCATCTCTGACATCTATTCCTTTGCCGGTTGAATAATCAATGATCCAAGAATTAACCTTGCATTTTTTTAATGTTTACTCTAATCTTCATAAATGGGGGTGATTAAAAAAAAAAGAAGTGAGGCTGGTATTGGGTAGAGAATATTGAACTGGGTGTCGGTAGACCTTGAATTCTAATCCTAGCTTTGATACTAACTCCCTTTGTGACCTTGTGTACTTAGTCATTCTTGGCCTCATTTTACTCTGTAGTATAAGAAACATCTCTTAAGGCCTCTTTCAGCTCTAACATTCTATAATGTAATATTTCTGAGGTGGATGATCAGCCATGAATTATATGCTAATTGTTTTAGGTAGCCCTTTTTACAGACTCTGAACCCATACCCCAACAAGGAATATAAGTTTAACTACCAAACTCTCAAATCAGACTTTTTAAGGAGATTTCCTCTCTCCTTCATTTTGCCTCTCCCACGTACCATAGGGGCCCCTTCCTTCACAGGTCTATTAAATAATCCACCCCACCCCACCATGTCTTATATTCCTTGGTAGCATTTAGTAAGCACTCAATAAGTGTATTTTTGAACAACCTAACAAGTACAGGATCTACCTCCTCTAACTCATTTATGTTTGTAGAAACAGAGCACCTTTACCAAGAGTTAGACTAGGGAACAGCTCCTCAAATCTGCCCACCATTGGATTTGGGAAGGAAAAAGTCAACGCTATGGTTTTTCCAGTAGCAATGTATGGCTGTGAGAGGTGGACTATAAGAAAAAGCTGAGTGCCCCAAAATCAGTGGTTTTGTTTTTGTGGTTTTTGCTTTTTTTGCTAGGCAATTGGGGTTAAGTGACTTGCCCAGGGTCCCACAGCTAGTATGTGTTGTGTGTCTGAGACCAGATTTGAACTCAGGTCCTCCTGACTTCAAGGCCGGAGCTCTATCCATTGCGCCACCTAGTTGCCCCAAAGTCAATGCTTTTGAATTGTAGTGCTGGAGAAGACTTTTGAGGGTTCCTTAGACAGGAAGAAGGTCAGATTGGTCAATACTTAAAAAATTAATTCAGGCTGTTCACTGGAAGGTCAAATAGTGAAGCTGAAGCTTAAAAACTTTGGTCATGTAACAAGAAGACAGGACTCATTGGAAAAGCCCCTGATGTTGGGAAAGATTGAAGGCAAAAGGAAAAGAGGTATTAGCAGCGTGACCTGGGCAAGTCACTTAACCCCAATTGCCTCACATAAAAAAAAAAAAGGAGGAGGGAAGGGGATGGCAGAGGATAAGATGGATAGATAGTTATCGTAGAAACAACAAACATGAACTTGGATGGACTTTGAGAGATAGTGGAAGATAAAAGGGCCTGGCATGCTATGGTCATGTAGGACTATTAGAGCTAAAAGAGAAGTAATCTGGGCCAACCCCCTCATTTGACAGATAATTTATTAGGACTTTATTTAGGAGCTACCTGAGTGTAAGCCCAGAGATTCCAAATGAATGAGTCTGGAAGTATGTCACGTAATACTCATTCTGGCACTTCTAGAACCTCCTTGGGCTCTTCCTGCAGTCTTTGTCTAGGCTCGTTGTTGAGCGCCTTACTCTTTCCCTCCAAGGTCTCTTACTTCCCACTTGAGTTTAGCCCTTCTTAAGAGAAGTCAATCTGCCTGAAGCTGTTCCTTCCAACTATACCTTCCCAGTGAGGGGAATACTCTGGGTAGAGATATAGGTGTTAATGTTTCAGGATAGATCAAAGTGCAAAGAGAGGTCTCTATTAGAGATGTGAATTTGAAAGTTTTGACAGTGTTCTTTGTTTCTTTTTCTGATGATTTCCTTGAGTTTTCCTGGAAAAAAAAATAACAAAGCAGGATAAGTAACATTTTACTCCTAACTTTTCTGGGTTTTTCCTCATCTGGCCTTCCTATCTCTGTTTTCAATGTTTATGAACAAATTAAGTTATACATAATATGTTTTTAAATTATCATATTCTGTGTATTTGTTACACTCCAAAAATCCATTTTCCCCCACCAAAAAGAGTTTTCATCAAGGCTTCAAAATTTAAGTGGAGGCTATGGGAAAAAGAAACAAATTTCAGACAGCTGGTGAAATCACTGTAGAGTCAACCTTGGAAATACTTTGGAAGCTGCCTGTTAACTAAAGCTTTAGTCTGAGGAACAGCAGAACCCAGGAATGTTTATACAATGAAGGAGGCAAAAGGGTGGGATCAGGGAGCAGATAAAGATCTTCTGCATGGGATCAATTATAGCCAAGAACTCCAGCTTCCTTTGGCCTGTAGCAGTTGTGGAGCTGCCCTTTCAGATAACTTCCAGATCTTCAGACTTGTTTGAGACTTGTTTGGGAAGTGGTCTGAAAAATCAAAACAGGCCAGAGTTTTAACACCTTGGACATAGATGTGGAAGGGCTCTGTCAGGTTGAGTCAGGTCCTTGGGTCAGTGGTAAAACCCTCTTCAGTCTTGAAGTCTTTTCCTTTTTTACAGGTAAGAGAGAGACTAAGTAGAACTGCATAGTCTTCTTTTCTCAATGGCCTACTGAGAAAATAACCCCATGATTCATCCTGTCTTTTGCAGAAGACTTGAAGCTAAGAAGGATAGTACTGTCACTTTGTGAGACAAAGTCAGGATCAAAAAAGATCTTGGAGACTCTTGAGCCAAATCTAATAAGATAAAATGTAATAAGGATAAATGTAAAATCCTACACTTTGATTTCAAAAATCAACTGTGCCAAGTACAAAATGGAGAAGATTGGGGGTAGTTCAATGGCTAGACAGTAATTCCTAGGGAAAAAAATCTCTGAACACTGTGAAATTATAATTACCAAACTTGGTCTTTCATTGTTAGAGGTAGAGACTATGGATATGAAAGACTGTATATACTGTCAGTTGTGTTAATTTTCTTGAACTAATTTTTCTTCCCATTTTCTTTTTCAATCTTTGTTACAAGAGATTGTTACTGAATAGGGTAAGGACAAGGGATTTATTTGGAAACAAATGTGATAGAAAAACAAAAAGAAATCAATAAAAATAAGATAACTTTTTAAAAAAAATCTCAGGTTTTAATGGAGTACAAGCTAAACAGTGTGACAGTTAAAAAAGCCAAATTGATCATAGGCTGAATTAATAGAAGCATAGTGAACATTGCATATGTGTCAGATTTTTTTTTGATGTATTGATCAATATTGCTGAATTTTTTTCTCATTCTTTTAAAAAAATTGTTATAAAGGATGGCTTTCTGGGGAAGAAGATAGAGAAGGATACAAAGGGAAATCTAGGTGATGAAAAAACAAAAATATCAATAAAAATACATTTTACAAACATAAAATACAAGAGACAGTGTGCAGGAAAAGGGAGGTGATAGCCCCACTATACTCTGCCCTTATCTGGAATATTGTGTTCGATTTTAGAGGCCACATTTTTGGAGGGAGCATTAACAATGGAGAGAACATTGACGAGGGCACCCAGGACAGTGAGGAAACTGAAGACCAACCATATGAATATTAATTGAAAGAATTAGAAATATTGTTTAGCCTGGAAAAGGGAGGACATAGGAGACATAACTACTTTTAGGCATTTGAATTGTTATTTTATAGAAAAAGGATTAGATTTGTTCTTGGTTCCAGAAACTAGGAATAGTGGGTAGAAGCTGCAAAGAGGCAGATTTAGATTCAGCATAAGGAAAAACTTCCTAACTGAGGTTTCTAAAAGTGAAATTGAGTACCAAAGCAGTTAGTAAGTCTCCCCTTAGTAGAGGTTTTCAAATAAAGGCTGAATAACCATTTGTTTGTACAGGAAATTCTTGTTCAGCTGAGTGAGTACATGATAAACTGGATGACTTCTGAGAGTCATCCCTCTAACTTGGAGATTCTGTGATTATTTGATTCTCAAGTCAAGGCCTTCACAGATTATAATCCGAGATATAATAAGTAGGAAATGCAAGTAGCCCTACCCTTTCCATCCATTCTTTCCTTCCTCATTAAAGAGCTGCAAGTCCCAGAGGACAGGCATGCTTTGGTCAGAGACAGACTACTTTGACCAGAAAGGCTGAAGACACAGTTATAGGGATGGTTCTGGTTAGCATCCCAGCCTTAAGGCTCCTTTACTAGGCAACAGTTGGCTCCTCTTGTCCAGATTGCCAAGATCTGTAAGGGATGTGGGAGTGGGGGAAGAAATGAAAGATCAAGGTCACCAGAGAAGCCAGGGATCTGATCTTTCATTGACCCAGCAACTATGGTCTTTGGGCATATACAGTAGCAAGAAGGGTCTCTTTATGTGGGGGAAGGAACTGCCTATCAAGTAGTGTCTCTAAATGGACTCACTTCTTTACAGATCTTTCTGAGATTGAGCCCAATGTGTTCCTTCGACCATTCCTGGAAGTTATTCGTTCTGAAGACACTACTGGTCCCATCACTGGACTAGCACTCACCTCTGTCAACAAGTTTCTGTCATACTCACTCATAGGTAAGATCCTAACCAAACTCGATGACTCAAGGACTAGCATGAGAAGCACCCTGCTGTGCCCTCTCCCTTCCTCTTCCCCTCCAGCCATCCCCCCACGTTAAGTTATCATTGTTCAGTACTGATTGCTTACAGAGTAATGGGAGAAGTGGAGGGGCTAGAACACTCAGACACTTGGCCCTTTGCTTTTACCTCAATAAGAGTTAAAAATGCAAGGTCCTGTCATTTATTCGTGTTTATTGAACTTGTGTAAGCCTTTGTTAGTGGGTCTCTTTTCTCAAGTTGTCAGCTTCTTTCTGTCATATTCCATGCTCGAGTATTAAGCATCTAGGAAAAAAAAAAGAATGTCTTCCTTTGTTTCCATATAGACAAACTACAGGAAAAGGGTACAGCTCGTACCTCAGCCAACTAGAAAGGAAAATGCTCTAAGGAGGAGGAGAATAAGATTGAGATAAAGGACCCTGCTCCCCCAAAATTGGCTTTCTGAACCTTCCCTGAGGCTAAAATTACCCCCAAACACCCAGCTTCCTGAGTAAAGTTGCTGGGCACCTCCTAAGGCGTGCTCCAGAAGCATTAACTTCCCCTGAGTGCTCTAGCCCTGCCTCACACTTGGATCCCTTCTCCACAGCAAATCGAGCCCAGGCGGCTCCTTCTTTGCCCTCAGCACCACCTGCAGGCAATTCTTCAGCACAGCCTCTGACTGCCTGTTTGGACCATCTCTCACTGTTTTTTAATGATCTCTCTACCCTCCAAGCTTCTTTGGTCAGCAAGCTATCTAAGGATTTGTCAGGAAAGAGAGCCCAATCTAGCCTCTAGGGCCGTAGAGGTGGTTTCTAGTTATGCAAAAGAAGGATTTTGCTAAATATGGTTATGATGGGGATAAGAGTGGGTGGGAATACAGAGTGATGAGTGAGGACAAGAATGGCAGTAGACATGAAGAAACAACAGATTTTCCTTGGGTTCCAACCTGAATTTCATCCCTCTGCCATTCTAGCCCTTTGTGGGTTGAGGGCAATGTGAAGTAAAAATGCAGAAATGACTTGAGAAGACTAAGGGAAGCCCCAAATGGCAGAACAGTCCTCTCTACCTGCTCGTGTGGGAACTCAAAAGGACTTTCATTTGGCCTGCAATTCTGTAAGATATCCCTGATATAACAGTTTCTAGAATGGCCCTGGATCCCAGTTACAGGATCAGCCTTGTGTTTGGCTCCACATATCCCCCAGGCCAAGATTTATACTGGTGATTGTATGCCAGCTTAGTGGACCTCTTGCTGTAATGCTGAAGCCTTTTCACTCTTACATGGCTTTTGGGAAAATTAATATTTTATTCAGGCTTGGGTGTCACATGTTTCAGAGTGACAAGCAGAGCTAAAGAAGTCCTTAACAGGGGAGTTTTGCCAAGATGACCTATAAGGGAAATCAATTGTCCCCTCAAATCTATCCCCTTCAGCCCTTATCAATCCCCTCTCCCTCCCCTCAGAAATCTGAAGATGGGAAGCAAGAGCACCAGTTTAGGAGTCAGGAAGACTTGAGTTCAACTGTTACCTTAGACTAGCTGTGTGACCTTGGACAAGTCGTTTAGTGTTTCCTCAGTTTCTTCATCTATAAAATGGAATAATAATAGCACCTACCTCCTGTAGTTGTTGTAAAAATCAAATGAGATAATAATTGTAAAGCACTTACTACAGTACCTGTCACAAAATAAACATTATATAAATGTTAGCTATCACTATTATTGTTATTATTAATCTTGAGTATCATATGTAGCTGAAATGAAACCAAGATCCCAATGGGAGAATGAGATCTGGCTGCAGGTTCTAAGGGAGTTGGGCAAAAGGATGCTCAGTAGTAATTCAGGGCTAGGGCATGAAGAGTTGAGGTGACCTGTGAAGATCATAATTCCAGCAGCCCACATGTTGGCATGAAAGATACATCCTTTTCTGGCCTGTAACTTGGCCATTCCCCGGGCCTAGGGAGAGGGCTGTTGTACAGGGAATAAATAGCCTTCAGAGAGTTTTGCTGGGAAGGATCCCAGGGCATAGAGGAAAGAAGATTTCTGACAAAGGTCGTTTCCCCAGATGCCTGTTAGAAACCATTCTCTCCCATGGTTCAGAGTATGCATTTTAGTTCTAGGTAGCAAAAAAGTAGAGAAGCAACTTTTCCTACAAAGTCTCTGCACTCTAGGGCCTCCTGTACTGTTTTTCTTAGACCAGGGCCTCGCACAAACACTAGGTGCTTCATAAACATAATGATCTGAATTGCTGAGTTTTTCCTGCCCTCTATTCATTCTTACCATGTCCAACCTCGCTTCTCCCACTGACCCCTCTACCCCCACCCCCCCCTTAATGCTTATCATCTCCCGACCTCTCTCAGGCCTTCCTTTCCCCTTTCAGGACCAAGAGCCAAGTCTTCATAAGGGAACTTAGGGCAGGAACTTGGCACCAGGGCAACACTTTGCCTTAATAGTGGCAATTTCCCTATGTTTAGCATGTAAATGAAAGAGGAGCTGAAGGAAGTGTCATAGAACTAACTATCCCGGGTCTTGGTCTAGCTACTTTAACTTCTTACTCTGAACAGAGCTAAGGGATCCTCCTCTCCAGCATCCCACTAATTAACTACACCTTAACCTTGTTTTGTCCTTGTTCCCTTCTGATACCTGTTTAGTTAATGTGGCGATAGGACTCACAGTCAGTGCAGTATTGTACTAAAGGAGGCTGAAGCCAAAGCCAGAGGAAGGGTTCTCAGAGCTGCTATGTGGCACCAGATATGATTCCTGGCAGCATTTTCATCCCAGGCCACCCTCCAACCTTCCCAGCCTCAGCTGTGCCTGGGCTTGAAGCTCCAGAATGAGCCTGAGAAAAAGCTGTGTTGAAAGATGTAAAGGAAAAGGCTACAGACTTGGCATCCTTAACTCATTTCTTTTCCTGGGAGAGACCCCAAACCGGAGTTCTGAGCTTCTCCTCGTTCAGCCTTTCCTGGCTAAAAGGAATAGTTCTACATATTGAAGTTTGTTCGTCCAGGGCACCTAATTCATGGAGCCAGTCATAGGCAGAAATTCCCAGAGGAATCCAGACAAGAAAAACAAAGTCGGAATCCTAGAGGGATGAAGCCCCTAGCATAGCTGGCCATACTTTTGTCCTCTGCTTCATTCAGTCTCTCCTTTGTTCGTGGAGCAGATCCCACTCATGAGGGCACAGCAGAAGGAATGGAGAACATGGCAGATGCTGTCACTCATGCTCGGTTTGTGGGCACAGACCCTGCCAGTGATGAGGTTGTCCTGATGAAAATCCTTCAGGTAAGTGGAGGGAGAGAGTAATTAGGCTAATGGCCAGGAGCTAGTGCTACCAGATCCAATTACTCAGGACTGTGGGTGGGAGAGGGCTGTGTTTTGACTCTGTAAGAGCTTAGTGAGCCACTTTATTTTCAAATAGGCAGCTCAGGTACCCAAAGTAAAAGCTTTTTGGAAGGAAAGCTTTTAATAAATTGATTTTGGGTGCCAGAAATCCTTGATACATTGTAGATCTGACAAGTCAGATCTATGCTGCCCATCTGCTGAGCCCTGGAGAGGTCCACAAAGGAGACTCGACTGCCTCATGGATTTATTAGCTCACAAAACAGAGAAATTATTCCTGTGTTAGGTCCATGGGATTCTAACAAAATGAAACCAGGGCTCTTTAGACCTCACTTTCCTCATCCATAAAATGATGGTTGGACTACATGCCTCTAAGGTCCCTTCCAGTTCTAGAGCGATGATCCTATAATCTCTTAGGCCATACATTCCTGTGACCTCAGAGACAAGTTGTGTGAAAGCAGCTTCTGAGCCATCAGGCCCTGCCCTTCCCAGCACAGCTTACTACTATCTGCTTTGAATATCCGTTCTCCTTTCAGGTTCTTCGGACTCTGCTGCTAACCCCAGTGGGTGCCCATCTGACCAACGAATCTGTGTGTGAGATTATGCAGTCTTGCTTCCGGATCTGCTTTGAGATGAGGCTCAGTGGTAGGTGCACATCAGCTGACCTTAATATCTGGCTAGGACCTCTGGTCAGTTCCACTGAGACTAATTAATAATAGCTAACATTTATGTAGCACTTTATGGTTTTTACACAGTATTTTACATATGTCAGATTGTCTACGCAAACGAAGACTCAAGGCTTTCCCATTTCATATTTGGTATAGCTGAGGTCAGTCAGAGGCCTCCTGTATTAGTCATTTGTCCTGAGACTTGGCTAAAGGCCTCAGGTTTTTTTGGGTAAACAGAGAAGGGAGTCTGGATGGATCCCACGCTGTCTTTTGCCAGGCCACTGGTCACCCTCAAGGTTTCTTGGGCTGTTCCTTGCCCCTCAGGTCTGCTGTGGAATGGAGGGGTATGGTTCAAGGTGGAGTAGAGGTTAGCCATGTCTTCCCAACCTTTTTTTTTTTCCCCATGACTCAGTGCTGCCACCTTGTGGCTGACTGCTGGCATAACTGCAAGGCCTTCGCTGGAGCTGGTTTTAATAAGTTTGGCGTAATCCTTGGTAAACAAGGTTTGGAGGGGAGTCTGCTCAGAGAAGCCTCCTGATAATAGCACAGCAAGTAATGACACCTGTGTTATTTGTTTTTGTCTGTGCAGAGTTATTGAGAAAATCCGCAGAGCACACTCTCGTCGACATGGTGCAGCTGCTCTTCACAAGGTAAACCTGCTCATGTTTGCCTCGGCTGGGCTGCCCTGGCCCCCTGAGCCTGCCTGCTTTTCTACAGCCACTTAAGGGACCCAGCTAGCCTTACAGCCACATCAGATGCCACTTGAATCGATGTGGGGGCAGTTCTCTGATTGTGGGGTTACAGAAAAAAGGGAGTAAAGAACTGGCCTGACTTACAAGGGAAGGGAGGGTTTGTTTGATCTGGACAGATGGCGATGATTCTGCTTCCCAGGCCAAGGTCTGTTTCTATACAGGTAACAGCTGGGAAAGGCAGTCCACCTAGGGAACTGAGCAGGAGAGGAGATGGGCTCCCAGACTTTGGCCTGTTTCCTAAGGGAGAGGGACAAGACATTGATCTCCAGGCCTCTCCAGGTCCCTGGTCGTGGCCCAGGAATCCCTGCTGAAGTAGAAAGCGCAGTCTCCTTCCTACAGCTCTTTGGGGGAACTAAGGAGGTTGCCCTTGTTCAGTATACTCTTGGCTTTCCTGACTCAGTGGGTAATAATGATGGGGCATAGCTCTAGACCTGCTGTGAAGAAAAGGCTCCTTATATCTGACCTAGGACCATTTATTGATTTCTAACTTGAGTATTCCCCTTTTTCTCCCCATTGTGTTCTTAGGACCCTGGCATCTCATTGGGATGTGATATATGACTCTCGTGTCATCTCCCACATAATACCAGCCTCAGCCAGGTGGATACTAGCATAAATTAGGTCAGGAAAGGACTTTTGAGCTCTAAAAGCGTCACTCTTGTGCTGAAGAAACTTCGGTGGCCACCCATTACTCTCGAATAAAATCTGAACTCTTCTGTTTAGCCTTTAAAGCCCTTCAGCCTATCTTTCTAGACTGGGTCATATCATTATGCCACAAGCACTGTACATTTCAGCCAGAATGGCCTTCTGTTGTTCCCCACACACAGCGTTCCATTTCTGGCTTCTGGAGCCTTTTCAAAGCCTGTTCCCCATGTCCAAAAGGTTCTCCCTCCTCACCTCTGCCTCTTAGAATCCCAAGCTTCCCTCAAGGCTCAGCTCAGGTGCCCTTTCCTACATAAAACCTTTCCTTATCCCTCCAGTTGATGGTCTTTCCTTACCTTACAGTTGTTAGTGACACCACACCTCCCTCCACCCCAAGAGAACACTGTGTACTTACTTTGTATGTATAGTATTTTGTATTTAAGTATTTATGTCTGTGTTGTTTCCCTACCGTACTCCAGGGTGCCATTTTGTTTTTGTCTTTGTAGCCCCAGTACCCAGCGCAGTGCCAGGCACATAGTAGACACTTAATAAACACTTATTGAGTGAATGACTGAATAAATTAGTTTGGGGAGAGAAGAGCTCCTGAGCTTTCAGAACATTGAATCTCCTTGACTGCATGACTTCATTATTTCTTTCTGGAAGTGTCTGTAACAAGCACATCCCAACCCCTAAGAAGGTCTGAGCTGTGCCATTGTGGGAAGGGAGAGGGGGTGGTTATTGTCCTCACAACCGTAGAAGCATATGATATTTAAAATGGAGTGAGTTCATTTAGTCCAACCCCTCATTTTACAGATGAGGGCACTAAGAAATGCCCCAGAGAAGTGAAATAACTTGATTGAAGACATACAATGAATTAGTGACTAGAGACCCAGATTAAATTCTAGCTCAAACTTCCAGTGTATAGTCTTTTTCCCACTGTACCATACAACCTTCATTGATGATAATAAGACACACATCTATTTGTGGCTAGGTTGAGTGGAGCAGAGGCCTGTGAAACCTCCAGTCTGCTTTTCCTCTTATTCTTGTCTGGGGAGCAGGACAGGCTATGACTCAGTACAACACTGGGTGCAAGCCAGCCTGCAGGAGGTCACCCTAGTAATCTTTGTATTCCTTGGGGCTTTCTATCTTACAGGTTACCTCAGTTTAAAGAAGAACCGAAGAACTATATAGGGACAAACATGAAGAAGGTAAGGCCTGGGACTTGACTCATGCCTTTACCTCTGCCTAGCTTTCCTTTCCCCTCATCAGTGCATCAGGTATTTTCTTGGAACAACTTTATTCTGTAGAGAAATGCTTTTGTTTGGGAATATCTGCTTAGAGTCTAAGAATAGCCATCACACATATTCGGGCTCTGAATGCCACTGGAAACACTTTGCTACCCCAGAGGCTTCTCCCTTCCCTGCTCTTCCTTTCTGACCCATTTTTATTCCCAGTACTGGCAAGGCTTAAGACCTGGAGCTCTCCTTCCATAAAGGTGATCCCTTCAGAATCTTTTTGAAGGTTTTTAAAGGCCATGCTGGAATGGTATTTGGGCAGAAATGAAAATCACTGGTTCTCCATAAGGCTGAGTGCTTCATGTCGGATGAAGATGGACCCTGCTATGTTGCTGGATTTATGCCCTCCCCTCTGGAAAGTTCAGAAGTGCCTGGCCTGTCAGGAGTGGGCAGGTCATCAGATATCTGAGTTTCTGCTGCTTAGACCTGAGACACTGGACTTCCCAGAACTTAATCCCAGGTCTCAAAAGGGTACACAAGAATAATGGCAGCTCTCAGCCTCGTGAAGCCCTGCTTGTCAGGCCTGGACAGCAATGCCCATCTGTTTGGTGCATGCCTCTCCCCGCCCGCAGTACTGCCTTGGGTCCTGTTGCTGTGTCTCTGGGTTGATTTCACTTTGTTAAAACCGTGCATTTGCCTGTCTTTCACAGATTTCTCCATGTCTCCTCAACAAACTGGAACTAAGTAGTGGGGAACAGCCCAAAGCCCTGAACCAGTTAGAGAGGGTACTGCTCTTTAAGAACCTCAAGGTCTCTCTCTCTCCCTTTCCATCCCCTTCCTCTTCTTTTTTTGCAAGCACCACCTGGGTCCCAGCCCTTTTGTGTGAAGCAAAACTTCCCTTTCCCTGGTAACACAGCACGGCTTGGGGAAGATGCATGCAATTGTTGCTTTGCAGTGTTGGGATTCTGCCTGGGGCAGGAGGAGAGCTAGTAGAGAAGGGAGTGGAATTATGCACAGACCTGGAGAAAGAGAGCTAGCCTTGCCATGTCATCTCATCTTCCAAGGAGTCAAGCACCAGCATCACTAGGGAAGTAAGAAAGACCTCAAGACAGAAACCTCTCCTCTCCTCCCTTTCTCTCTGCCTTTCCTGTTCACTGTCATAGCTAACAAAGGAATCCCAGGCATTGTTCCCTGATTGATTAGGTTGGGTTTGGAGGAGGTGGGAGAGTTATCAGACTTTGAGGCACCTGGGGTGCCATCAAGAACAGCTATTCTGAAATGCAGGCTTCTGGGAAGTAATAGGGTAGTGCCAAGGTATACTGAGTGCCCCAGGCCACCTAGTATACCTTATGTCTTTGGATATTCACTCTATCACTCAAGGCATAGAGTTTGATGAAACCAGGGAGAATAGGGTCCAAGTTTGAGAAACCTTGTCTCATGCCTTACTTTTCTCCTGTTTCCTTGAGCCAGAGGGATAATGTCTCTATCTCTTGACTAAGAATTTTCCCACTAGAGGTGAGGTATTTGAAGCAGTGAGGAACTGTGTGACTTTGGTGGGGTTAGCCTGAGCAACAAACCTATTTTCTCAGCATGTTGTTGTCTCTTGAATGCCAACTGGTATGCTTGTCCAGTCTTGAGTTCCATCTCCCTCAACTGGCCAGACTTGGTATGTAGCCATAGTTATTAACCTTGGGCCCTGCCCTTTTTCTCAAATATCACACTGACTTCTGGAAACACAGAGATAAGCAGGTATGCTGATTTGAGATTCCCCAGCTCCTTCATCATAGTATCATCACCACTATCTTAGGACCTTCGCCTTCTGCCACTAGAGGATTTCCTTTTTTTTCCTGACCCAAAGCAATCTGGTGAGAGGAATACCTCCCTTTGCTAAGAATGAGCCTTATCACACTTTTGTTCCTAGATTCCTAGAATCTTCCCTTAGACCAGGTGTTTATTTCATCAGTTAGATGTTGTAATTATAACACTACCTCTCAGCACCTACCCCAGCTGGAAATCAGATGGGCCTAGAGAAGCAGGTGGAGCTGTAATCGTAGAGAACCCAGAAGAAGGTAGTGCAGTGTAACTGATCTCACTGGGAATGTGTCAGTGCAGTGGGAATTAAACTGCCTTGGGCCCCTGGCAAGATGGCAGTTTACTGAAGAGAAAGGAGATAGGCCAAAAAAGATTAGGCCAAGACCCTGGTACTTTTTAGAGATCAATGACAAATAGATTATTAGTTATCTCTCAGCAAACTGCATAGTTGGCAACTTGTCAATGCAGCTTACAGTACTTTGACTCTTCCAATGATCCTTGGACCCCTTACTGTAGAAGTTTTGATGACTTTTCTATAGGGTCCTCTTGCCCCCATGGGGAAGTCTCTTCTAATTTGGGTATTAATATCAGTTCTGGTGAACAACTTCCTGGGAGAGAAATCTTCCTTCCTTACTGAGATGTTCAAAACCCTGAAGGTGTCTCTGATATAGGCAGGGGGGCTTTAGGGGTCTCACTATCATGTTCTAGAGAACTGGGGGCCATTTCCTGAGGTCCTCTCACCTTGGAGAGCTATGGGTAGGGAATTGGATAATCTGTTGTTTCTCGGTCAGGCACATTAAGGAACCTTTAGTCAGCTGCTTCACAACCCTCCTAAAAAAAGGAATTATGTATACCTGTGGAGAAGGATCAGTTGCCTTGCCCAAGTCAGGTGATAGGATCATAGATTGAAAGCTAAAAGAGACCTTAGACATCATCAGATTCACCCATCTCATTTTATACATAAGAAAACTGAGTACCAGTGAGGTTTAGTGATTTACCTAAGATCACGCAAATGATACACGCACTCTGACTCCAAATCTAATGTTCTTTCCACTCTTCCATGCTGCTGCCTCTGAAGTGTTCAGAGGCTTAGGGAAAGGAGAGAAATGAAATCTGGTAAGAGTAAGGAAGGGACCAAGGCAAGGATAGCATCATCCTGTATGCTCAGTCCTTGGGAAATAGGAAAAAGTTTTCTCTCCAAATTAAGGATCATAGGGGGCAGCTAGGTGGTGCAGTGGATAGAGCACCAGCCCTGAAGTCAGGAGTACCTGAGTTCAAATCCGGCCTCAGACCAAAACACTTGACACTTACTAGCTGTGTGACCCTAGGCAAGTCACTTAACCCCAATTGCCTAAAAAAAAACACAACAAATTAAGGGTCATATTGATAGGCTCTGAGGGAAAGGAACTGGAGGGCCAATCTGAGAAAGGTCAATCAGGGAGTAAATCAGTTTGGGGCTGCATTTTCAGAGTGGGTACAGTTTAAAATGATGAAAGCATCTGGGTTGGGGAAGAAATGGGCCTAGATGGAATAAATGAGTTCATAGTAAAGAAAAGATCATTAGATCTAGACAGTTCAATACTAAGGACCCCCTGACAGTCAACAGGCAGTAAAATTGGAAGTCCACTGTGACTAAAAAGAAGCTATGAGAACAGCAGTCTAACACACTGGATAGCTAACAGGATGGAATGAGATGTAGGGAAATAGATGGATTTGATTTTGGGGAATGCAAAACTGCACTGAAAGAGGCAAGATAGGGTAAGACAGGAATGGTGGACTGGTACATTTATTCAGCAAATAGCAACTGCATTGGGATTGGGAAAATTGCTGAGTAGTCATGGGGCAACTGCTGGTCTCTTTTTACAAAGAGGAGATTCACTAGCCAATCTCATGCAAAAATCCAGGGAATAAGGAGGAACAGTTGCCTAGGACCAGAGATAGAAAACTCTGAAAGAAGCTCAAGTGGGAAGAGTGAGTTCACATCATTTGTACAAGAACTTTCCACCTCAGAAATCTCCCCAGGGTTAGATTCAGCAGGACAATTCAGGGGAAAAGTTCTTGGAAGTTCTGGGCCATTGGGCCTGGAGAATGACTCCTGGCAAGGTGGTCATTGCTAATGATTTCCTGATCCCTTCTGCATGCCCACTCCATGCATTGTATGGCCTGAAACAAACTTCTGCTAGAAAACCTTGGTTCTGTTGTTATCAAAGCTAGTCATCCTTAGGAGACTGCATAAGAAGTATCTGCACTGCTCTACCAAAGCCCATCACTGGTTCTAGTAGACTTGTTTGACTGGACAGAGAGGTTTGGGAGTGGAGCATGGGAATACCCAGGTGCTAATGAAACTTCTGATACCTAATTCTATAGTCTCAAGCTGTGGTCCAAAAAATGTTTGGGATGGGGAGTTGGAGGCCCTTATTCTTCTGACTCCAGAGTTCTTCAGATTTAAGAGTGGTTGCTGAGACCAGGCCGCCTCCTTCCAGGAGTCAACGCTAAGCTAGCCTATTGGGTGTGAGTAAATATATTTGGAAGAATAGTCAGATTGGAAGGATGAGAGTGTGATCCATTGTGTTAAGTGGTTTTCATTTGGCCATGGGTGGATGGTACCGGGGAAAGGATGCTTTAGGCTGCTTCCTGTGGTCAAATGGGGCTGCTCCTGACTGAACTTTGAGGGGAGGGAGGGCTCTAGCAACTCAATCCTAGCTCAGATGACAATTCAATGGGGTGTGATATTTGCAGCTAAAAATGAGAGCAGGAGGCATGAGTGACTCATCCAAGTGGAAAAAGCAGAAGAGGTCTCCACGGCCCCCACGACATGTCACCAAAGTCACAGAGTCACCCACTACTAATGGAGCTACCCTATCCTCCAACTTTACAGGTAAGTTTCCTTCTGGCTAAAACTATACCTTGGTCCCAGGTTTCTGAATTTCTCTTGAACAGGATAGCATAGGGTGATGGCTCCTACAAAGAAGACATTCTTCTCTTTGATGGACGGGGGGCTTAGAGACATGATTATAACTATGATGTATGTATGTGCTGGGAACAGGTGCTTTCATTTTAATCAAATGGGGCGTAAAATCTCTGAGCTCTTGTAGGCTGTACAGTTTGAACAGTGAACTCTAGTATTCTATGACTCTTCAGCAATTCTACAGTAGCTTTTGAGTTTTTTTGTTCCAAGAGAAACCCTGAATACCTGTTCTGCTAAGACAATAAGTTTTCAAAGAATGTTGAGATCACAGCAGTGCCACTACTAGGTCTGTATCTCAAAGAGATCATAAAAAATGGAAAAGGGCCTACATGTACAAAAATATTTCTAGCAGCTCTTTTTGTGGTGGCTAAGAGTTGGAAATTGAGGGGATGCCCATCAATTGGGGAATGGCTAAACAAGTTGTGGTATATGAATGTAATGGAATAATATTGTGCTATAAGAAATGATGAGCAGGCAGACTTCAGAAAAACTGGGAAAGACTTGCATGAACTGATGCAGAGTGCAACGAGCAGAACCAAGAGAACTTTGTACACAGTAACAGGCACATTGTGCAATGACCGACTTTAATAGATTTGGCTCTTCTCAGCAATGCAAGAATCTAAGATAGCTCCAAAAGAATCATGATGGAAAATGCTATCCACATCCAAAGAAAGAACTATGGAGTCTGAATGTAAATCAAAGCATACTATTTTCTTTCTCTTTCTCTTTTTGTTTTTTCTTTCTCATGGTTTTTCCCTTTTGTTCTGATTCTTCTTTCACAACATGACTAATGTGGAAATGTGTTTAATATGAGTATACATGTATAACCTGTGTCAGATTGTTTGCTGTCTTGGGGAGGGGAGGAAGGGAGGGATGAAAAAATTTGGAACTCAAAAATCTTATAAAAGTGAATGTTGAAAACTATGTTTACATGTAATTGGAAAAAATGAAATACCGTTAAGTAGGAAAAAAAATAATCAAATGAAAATTAAAAAAAAAAGAGTATTGAGATCAACACACAGACTGGGATATGAAGAAGCTGTGGTTTTCTTACAGCTTCTGGAATTGTAGCATTTCTTCCCTTCAAGCATATGCTCATTTTCCAAGGGACTCTCTTGGCAGGTGCTGTGCCCTTCATTGATGCCTCCATGCCTATCTCCTCCACAAGTTCTGAAGCCACCTCCACAGCTGTGAGCCCCTCAACTGACAGTGGCCTTGACCTCTCCTCCCAAACCACATCCAAGGAAGATCTCACTGACCTGGAGCAGGCTGGCTCCCTGGGACCCAGCGCAGCCTTGGTGCCTGTAAACAGCGAATTGGGCTCTCCTGAACAGTCTGATTCCCAGGTATAGAATCTCTCGAGGTCTCCAGTTTTCTCTTTGAGAACTGGCTGCTTTCTTTGGCTCTTTGCATTCTTTCCTAAACCATGGCTGGTAGAAAAGGACTCAGGAAGCTGTCTCCCTTCTGGTGGCACAGTAGATAGAGCACCAGTCCCAGAGTCAGGAAGACCTGATCTAAGTTCAAATCCATCCTCAGATACTAGCTATGTGACCCTGGGCAAGTCACTTAACCTCTGTTTCCTTATCTGCAAAATGGGAATAATTATAACACCTATCTCCCAAGGTCGATGAGATGAAATGAGATGGTAATTGTAAAGAGTTTAGCACAGTGCCTGGCACATAAGAAGAGGTATATTTGTTGTTCAGTCATTTCAGTTATGTCCAACTCTTTGTGACCCCATTTGGGGTTTTCTTGTCTAAGATACTTGAGTGATTGGCCATTTCCTTCTCCAACTCATTTTGCAGATGGGGAAACTGAGGCAAACAGGATTAAGTGACTTGCCCAGGGTCACACAGCTAGTAAGTGTCTGAGGTTAGATGTGAACCCAGGAAGATGAGTCTTCCTGATTCCAGGATTCCAGAACTCCCCAGCATTCTGTGCACTGCGCACCTAGCTGCCCTAGGAGCTATATAAATGTCCACTCTTATTTTCTCTCTGTTCCAGTGATATTTCCTGAAAGGCATGGCTTTCTTGTAAAGGAGAGGAGTAGAGCAATTACTGTATGTTCCAAGGTAGTGGGAGTGAGGGAGCCAGGGAAGTCCCTGGCAGTTTCCCTAGTATTTAAGGGAAGGTTCTGAACCCAGATCCAGTGAAAGTTCTTACTACTTCCATCTTTCCAGGCATACTGTTTACTACACTTCATGAGAAATTTATGTTGCCCTTTCATCCCTCAGAAGTTAAAATGGGGTCTTGGCATAGTCAGCACTCAATAAATGTTGACTTGAAAATGTTTAAAAATCATATTGTCATATAAACTTATAAAATCAATAAAAACCTAGAAGGTTTAAGGGACATAAAAGGTCATGTCTCCAAATCTACCTCTTTAACAAATGAGGAGACAGGCTCAGAAATGTGAAATGAACTGCCCATGGTCACCCAGCCTCTTAGTGGCAGAACTGGGACTAGAACTCTTTTGATTCCTAGTCCAGTACCTTTTCTACTACCCTGTGCTGTCTTTTGCTATCTACTCGTGTTTTAAAGCCAAAAGATCGGGGTCCCTCATACACAATTTCATTAGAAAAGAATGAGAAGAGTCTAATACCTCCTATGTATGTTCCAAAAGGGGAAATTTTTAGAACTCAGCCTTTCAAGATTAAGCTTTCTGCCTTCACTGGATCTCCGTACTTCCTCTGTACCTCTTCAGCCTATTGTAAAGTGAAGGGGTTGTCCAGGATGAGCTTTCACTTCCATTCCAACTCTTACAAATTCTATAATCCTGTGCTATAGCATGAAGTATCTCAGGTGGAAAAGGTCCAGTCAGCATCTGTGGAGTCCATCCCTGAGGTGTTAGAAGAGTGTACTTCTCTAGCTGACCATTCAGATTCAGCCTCTGTCCATGACATGGACTATGTCAACCCCCGTGGTGTTCGCTTCACACAGTCCTCCCAGAAAGAAGGTGAGTGTTGCCAGGCTGGTGGTTCTTCTTCCTCTTTCTCCTCTTCCCACCTCCCCAAACTCTTATCCATGAAGCTGCCCAGGAAGCTCAAGAATTTCAGGGGATTTCTACTTGCTAAGCTAAATTCTCTGCCTTCCTTTGCTATAATTGTCAGGGATTTGAAATTGTTAGGGAGTTGTTTAGCAGTCTGTAGAACTGGGGGGATCAAAGGAAAAAGCAGCTTTTTTTCTGTTAAAAAAAAAGAGAGAGAGAGAGAATACTTCTTATTGATGCCTTGTTTTTAATGTCATATCCATTCCTTCATGTATTCTTTCCCTTCCCCTACCCCTTGAAACAAAAATTTAAAAAGAAAGAGAAAAAAGTTCTTTGGAACTTTTTTTTTCTTTTGAAACTTTTGGAACTCTTAGGTATAAGTTCTTTGGAGGTAATTGTTTGACTGGATTTGTCTTGCATTATTAGAAACTCTCTAAAGGACTAGTTATTTATTTTAAGAAATTTTCTCTCCTTGCTTTCTCCAGGTACAGCATTGGTCCCCTATGGCCTCCCCTGTATCCGTGAGCTCTTCCGTTTCCTTATCTCTCTTACCAACCCTCATGACCGACATAACTCAGAAGTCATGATCCACATGGGCTTGCAACTGTTGACTGTGGCCCTTGAGTCTGCACCTGTGGCCCAGTGCCAGACCTTGCTAGGCCTCATCAAGGATGAGATGTGCCGCCATTTATTCCAGGTGAAAATGGGAATAATTGAAAGGGTGTGGGAAACTGAAGTTTTACTATCACATTTACTACCTCATGACAGTGGTGATGAGGTAGGGAGCGCTGGGAAAGGAAAGTTTGGATTTTCTATGAGAAGGATGAGTGAGGCTTCCTGCCCATTGCCCAGCCAACCCAGAGTAAGGGTTCCCTAGTCTTTGTCAGTAATGCTGGCACAAGGAGTGAGGTATGAGAGTTGCCAAGTGTAGGTAACTCTCAGAGCTCTGAATCTGAAGTAAAGTCTTATTCTGACTAAGCAGTGGCAAATACCAGAAACTTCATAGCTTTTCCTGTTTTTTCCTCCAGCTGCTAAGTGTGGAGCGACTAAGTTTATATGCAGCCTCCCTCCGGGTGTGCTTCCTGCTCTTTGAGAGCATGCGAGAACATCTCAAATTCCAAATGGAGGTGAGTCATCTGGTCCAAATGGAGGTGAGGAACACAAGGCATGGAGGCTTTTCTCCTTCTGGGGTGGGATTCAGGAATTTGTAGGTGAGTCATTGACCCCCCTAAGAAAGAACTCATTGTAGGATAGCTGTCATTTCCCTTGGAGCTGTCATTTCCTTTGGTGAGGACACATTTCCAAAAAAGAATCAAGGGACTGCTATTGTAAAATGGGGACTGCAGTGGTGGGATGGGGGGCCCCCAACTTTGGGACTAGCTTGTCTTCCTGGTAGTCCCTTTCAAGCCCAAGCAGGTTGCAGGAAGGAACTGAAAGCAAGACTCGATCATATCATCAGCTCATTTGATAAGATACTTAGCTCATTTGAAAAGAAATCAGGCAGCTTTGGGCTATATAAAACCAGAGGTAGAAAGTCAAGTTTCATTCCTGAGTAGAGTGGCCATAGTATATGCCTGGGGTTTGGAAGCAGGAGGTAAGATTCTCTTAGCTGAGTTTCCATAGTCCTACTGTGTCTTTTTCCTTTGTTCTATCCTATTGGGAATCTGTGACTGCTGCCAGATGTACATCAAAAAACTCATGGAGATAATCACTGTGGAGAATCCTAAGATGCCTTATGAAATGAAGGAGATGGCACTAGAGGCTATCGTCCAGCTCTGGCGAATCCCCAGCTTTGTTACTGAGCTCTACATAAACTATGACTGTGACTACTACTGCTCCAACCTCTTTGAGGATCTCACAAAGCTGCTGTCCAAGGTGCCAAGGGTTTCTGAAGTGGCTTGCATGGGCCTCTAGAAGGAAAATATTGAGGAAGGGAAATTTGTCTGTTGGGAATAGCACAGATAGGGAGGGACAGGTAACAAAAGGCGGAAGGAGGGTTTGCTAGGGCAATATGGTAGATTTCAGGGTTAGAGAAAAGTTTATGTACTCTTGGGCTGGGTGTGGGTGTGCACTCATGTGTACAAAATGGCAATTAAGCTTAGGTTAAAATATAGAGGATGTTTCTCCACATAAGGTAAGAACCTTGGAAAGTATGTTGGATTGGTTTCTTAGCTTTCACTATTTGTTTCCCAGAATGCCTTCCCTGTCTCTGGGCAGCTTTATACAACACACCTGCTCTCTCTTGATGCACTGTTGACAGTGATTGACAGTACTGAGGCCCATTGCCAGGCCAAAGTCTTGAACAACCTCATCCAGCAGGAGAAGAAAGAGGCAGCTAAACCCAGTCCTGAGATGGTGGATGGCACTAAAGAAGTCAGCAGCAGTGAGAGGCCTTTTTCTTTCTTAGAGCCCTAGGCCCCAGTAGCATGAGCTCCTTGCCCCCATCCTACTTTACCTAGTATTATATTTTCAGGGTTTGAAGCTCTGAGTCACCTCCTCAGGCAGAATGTTTGTGCTGTAGTATTCATCTCCCCTTCTCCTAGAGATCTCTGACTTTGTGCCTTTGGTATTCTTTGACTCGGCTGATGTGAGGCAATTTGTATCTATTGTGAACTTAGGTTTCTGCTTCTCTGAGATGCTTCCCCATTAGGGATCATTGTAGGCTCCTTGGCATTGGAGTCTAGTGGAATCCTCCCTTCCTCTTTGCTTTCCTCCTGCAGCTCTGCTCTACTGTCCTTCCCCCTTTGCTGAATTTTTCTTAACCACTTTTAAAGAAAACTCCTAAGGACTCTGCCATACCCCATGGTTTTCCTAAGGTATGAAATCAAACTTAAGTCCATTCCAAGGAAGAAACCTGGTTCCAGGGTCAACTCTCTTTAGTTGTGATTATTTAGCTACACAGCCAATTGGAGCTCTGGTTCTCTCATCACTGGTATACTTTACTGAACCCCAGTGTGCTACTGACACCTGCAGACCATCAGACAACATTTTTCTTCCCTCATCCTAATCTCCGGGTCGGAAATTCTTTGTTACAAGATAGATAATTAAAAGATAATACAAAAGGCATAACAGATCAAACTGTATAACAGGTGATCTGACCAGAATTGAGTTGGCTGGCATTAAACTTGCTCATAGAAACAAAAATAGAATATGTCATCTCTAACTGAAGTTGCTGAATGAGATAATATATATAAATCACTTTGCAAACCATAAACTATAGTATAAGTAGGGATAGGAATTGGACCTGGGATTTCATTGGTATAGAGAACTCCCAAGCAAGGAAAATCCCTCCTTCTGTAAGTCTATCTATACTATACCTTCTCTGTAGTTTCCTGAAAGGTTACATGATTTGTCCAAGGTCATGCAGTCAGGATGTGTCAGAGTTGGGACTTAAATTCAGGTCTTCCTGGCTTCCATTCTGACTCTCTGTCCACTATACCATGCTTCTACTACATAAATGTTAGTTATTATTATTATTATCATCATCACTTTTATTATTATTGCTCAGCACATAGTAGGCACTTAATAAATGCTTGTTGACTTGACATGAGTTGTGACACTACCTTGGATTCAAGGAAAGTCACAACCCAAGACTGAATTCTTTTAGCCTCGGGCTAGAATGATGAAGGCTCTCCCCAATAATTGCTGTGCTTGATGTTTCTCTCCCCACAACCCTATCTTCCTCCTCCCCACCCCAACTTCTGGCTCCTTATATTTTGCCCATTGGTAGTATTTTAACAAATATGGATTGACTACCACTAACTGAGCTTTCCTTCATTTGGGCATTTACTCAGACATGCTTTACCAGTCTTTCCTTCACCCAGCGTGTGGGAAGAGGTAAAGGAACATTATATTCATATTCATGCAGACAATTTTCCATCAACCAAAAGAGAACAGTCCATCCAAAAATTCACCTAGAACTCTGATTCTTCACACTTTTTCTCTCACCTACAGGCAGTGAACAAGCAGCCAATGATGGAAAACACCCAGGGACAAACCCAGATCACCCAGGGCTGCATCCACCTGGGGGAGGGCAGTTGCTGGCTGAGCAGGGAAAATTGGGCTGCAGTGACCTGGAGGAAGGTGGTGATGCAGGTGGTTGGTGTTGGGTCCCACAGGGCTTATTTGGGTAGAAGACTTCTCAGGAAAAGGCAGAGAGAGGGGGGAAAAAATGTTTTTTCACTGATTGAAAGAAAGAAAACTTGGGAATTATCTTAGTGGGACTTGGCTACTCATTATCCCTTCAGACTCATGAAGAAAGAGAGCCCAGGACCGTAAAGAGTTGCTGTCTGTGATTCTGAGGGCTGCTGTAAGACTCCTTTACATTTTCTATAAGGAAGGCATTACTGGGGAGAAAAGCAGTCTAGCCTACTTGTGAGAACTGGGAGAAGGAAAAAGTGATTGGTTTGCTGTGCTTTAGAGAAGTTAAGTGGGAAATTTTAGGATTGTAGAAAAGGGTGTTTATGTAAGTAGGATGATGAAAAGTTGTATTTGGATCCTAGAAGAGAAATAGAAGAAATTGAAGCAGGAAGACTGGAGGGAACCAGGGAGTCCTGCAGGCATCTTAAGCTCTCCCAAGGAAAGTGAAGGAGATGGCTCACTGTGTTCCCATATTCTTTTTCTTCTTAGTTGACAAAAAAATTCCCCGGAAGCCACCTCGGTTTTCCTGCCTCCTTCCAAATCCTCAGGAACTGATTGAGATTAAAAGCAAGAAAAAGGTATAAAAATCAGTTACGTTTTGTTCCCACTTTGTTCCTTGAGTGACTCTTGCCCTAATAGTTCACAGAGGATTTGGCAGCTCATCCAAATCATTGAAGGAAACCTTCAGATTATTAGTTAGTTAGGACTTCAGGAGCTCTGAGTTCCCTTTGGGCCTTCCCATTTCCTGAAACACCTGTGGGTGGGCACAAGAACTAGGGCTAGATTTATTTGCCAAACCCTAGCCCTTCACCTATGTCTTCAGGCAAGGGATAGACTGAGTTGGAAGAATGGGAGTTGGTAAAAATAGGAACCAAGGTTGCTGGTATTATCTTGGTCCCAAAGAAGGTTCAGTAGGTCATGTCTATGATTGTAGGAGCTACAGGGAATTGACATTTATTCTGGTGCTTTAGTAAAGTTCATGTAGATGTTTGTGCTTTTGAATTTCTTAATGAAATGGAAACCTTTTTTTAAAATACTTCTGCCATCCTCTTTCTATCACCGTCTTGTACCCAGTGGCAGACTGGGTACATTTGATTTGTCTGTCCCTACCTATACTTGGGTTAATGTAGAACTGACTCATCCCCATGGCCATCCCTTCCCGGCCCTCAACAGGAGGGCACAATACAAGCAGCACCCAGTTAGGAGAGATGTAAACAGACTGGGCTACAGGCTGTCATACTGCTAAGAAATCCCAAGGAAAAGAGATAATAGAGAGCCGAAGAAATTTTTTTTGGGCCCCTCTTTCAACTGCGTCAAGGGTCACACCCACTATATCATGGACATTTATTTAGTAAATGGGATGTTCATCCCACTCCCTTTAGAGAAGGTCGCTGAGGTTAGAGATTAGAAGATGTCTAAGGCTTTGATTTTGGAGCTTTCTGTCCTGTGAAGATGAGGTACTACCCAGCTGAGGGGATACAGAAGCCATGTGGAAATAAGAAGAGAGCCTGACCTAGGTTTAAAGTCTATCCAGTCTGCATGCAGAAGGGATCTAATGCCTTAAGCTTTTTCTCACAGCTACTGATCACAGGCACAGAACAGTTCAACCAGAAACCAAAGAAAGGGATTCAGTTCCTACAGGAAAAGGGTCTTCTGACCATCCCCATGGACAACAGTGAAGTTGCCCAGTGGCTTCGAGAGAATCCCCGACTGGACAAAAAGATGATTGGCGAGTTTGTGAGTGACCGAAAGAACCTTGACCTGCTGGAGAGCTTTGTGGGGTGAGTGAATAGTGGGCACAGCTTCCTAGGCAGAGAGTAGTAATCTGGCCTAGGATGAGGCAGGTTGCTGACTTCTCCCACCTCTCTCTTCAGCTCACAGAGATGAGTGTCAGGTCCTCACTTGAAGCTTTTTCATTTGGGGAAGTGGTTTGTTTTTTGGTTAGAGGTCCAGATAGCGTTCTCTGCATTTCTAACACTCCTTACAGTGTCATGTGGGGCCCTTCAAGGTTGCAAAATGGGCCAGATACACTTAGTTGCTATTTCTGTTGAGGCCTCACTTGGAAGTGGAAAGATGAGGGTTTCTTGGCTTCAAATTTGATAGAAGTGGTATTAAAGCAGTAGATCAGAGATTCTCTACCTTTTTGTGTCTGGGCCCCTTTGGCAGTCTGGTTAAGCCTCTGAACTCCTCAGAATAGTGTTTTTGAATGCATAAAATAAAATACATAGGATTGCAAAGGAGAGCAATTATGTTGAAATACAGTTATCAAAATATGGAGGGGGTGGGGGGATGAAGTGTACTGACTCCAAGTTAAGAACCTATACTCTAGAGGTGAAAGGCTATGGATGCAAAGTAACAGGATTTGGGGGCTAGAAGTATTCAGTGTTATTAATACGGTGGGGAGAACTGAAAGGTTTCCCTGCCTGCCCTTGGGGGAGAGTAGATGAGAAGGCATGTGGCACATGGAAAGGCAGACTTTTTGCTCTACAGTAGCTGCTTACTAACTTCATCACCTTTCCTCCCCCATTCAGCACCTTCAGTTTCCAGGGCTTACGACTAGATGAAGCTCTACGCCTCTACCTGGAGGCCTTTCGCTTGCCAGGAGAAGCTCCAGTCATTCAGAGGCTACTGGAGGCCTTTACTGAGCACTGGATGGTAGGTTTGTTTATTGGGGGGTGGAGGAGGGAAGATTTGGGGAAACAGAGTTGTAATTTCAAGTGTAACTGAGAAACCATTGGCCCCCACTGCTATCTCCTGGACAAGCTAAGAGTCTGGTAGCAATGGCTAACAATCCCCAGGGAAAAGGGGACATAGGCTTCACCCAGGGGTTGGCAGGGATTTTGTGTCTTGCCTGGGCACTTGCTGGCTTCTGTGTAAGTACCAGTCAATGGATTAGACAGAGGTTAACTGAAGAAAGGGCAGAGACTTGACACTGATAGTTGTGGGGTTTCTACTTTTCAGAAGTGTAATGGCTCCCCATTTGCAAATAGTGATGCCTGCTTTGCCCTGGCCTATGCTGTTATCATGCTCAATACTGACCAGCACAATCACAATGTCCGCAAACAGAATGTACCCATGACCCTGGAGGTGAGTATGTATCCTTACCTAGGTAGGACTAGCCCAGCATTAGATTACAGGAGGGAAAGCATGGAGGTCCTGATCCAGAAAGGGGTAGTGACTGAGAGCCTATTGAGGTCAAGCTAAATCAGAGGTCACTAACATAGTAATTCCTGCCCTGAATGGGTTAGATAAAAAGTGCTCTAGCTTTTCTTTCATTCAACAAGCATTTATTAAGTATTATATGCAGAGCACTCTGCAAGAATCTGAAAGTTATTGTGTTTAGCTAAAGTCTTTACTTTTATATTCTATTAGTAGGGGATTGCGACCCAAATGTAAATAGTATAATGCACAATACTTGATAAGTGTGTTAGCAAATTGTTTTGTGAGGTTCATAATAACTGACCTGGAGGGATCAGAAGGATGGACCGTTTAAGTTAGGTTTTAAAGAATGGGTAAAATTCAGTTCAAGGAGTGAGAGTAGGGAAGAAGAACATTATAGGCATAGGAAACGATGTAAGCATGGTCATAGAGATAGGAGGGCATAGTATGCAAGAGGCAGAGAATAGTCCCTTTTGACTGGAGCATAGAGTATATATTGGGAAGAATCTTGACATAAAGAAAGGTAGGCTGGTGCTGGATTATAGAGGACCTTGAATTCTGTGTAAGCACCAGATGCTTAGCATAGGAAATGACCAGGTCTGTGAATAAGAAAGATTATTCTGACAGTAGGAAGGAAAGATTGGAGTGGGAAAGAGTAGGATCAGGAAGTTCTATTAGGAAGTTATTAGTTATCCAGGCTTGTGTTAATTAGGGCCTTTGGGAGCGAGAATAAAGATTAGGGAACAGATAGGAGACGTTTTCAGAAATGCATTTAGCAAGATTTGATCATGATGGGATATGAGAAGTAGAGAAAAAAGAATCAAATGTGGCCTTAAGGCTACAAACATGGGAAACAGAGTGAATTGTGGTGTCATGCCCAGAAACAGTGAAGTCAGATGGAGGAACAGATTTAGGGCAAGAGTTTAAGCTTAGTTTTTTATATGATGAATTTGAAGTGCTAATGAGATGTCCAGATAAAGGTAGGTAGTTGGAGATAAAGGACTAGAATTAATAAGAGATGTCAGGATTGAAGATGTAGTGTTGGAAGTCATCTGCATAAAAGTAATGATTGAACCTTAGTGAACGAGATTGTTAAGGGAAGAGTCTAGAAAGACAGGAATAGACCCTGAAAGAACATCCACATAAAGGGGTTGGGTAAAAGACAGAGAGCCAGTAAAGGAGAGAGAGGAGCAGTTATCAAAGTGGAGTAAAGCTAGGAGAGGGAGATGTGTCTGAAGCCAGGGAGCAGCGGGGAAGGGGTGGTGGTGGTTTGCAGGTAGTTGAAAATGGCAACAGTATCAGAAGCTAGAGGGAGGTCAAGGAGAATGAGAACTTTAAAAATACCATTGCAATTAGCAGTCATTAGTCACTTGGTAGTCTTTGAGAAATGAGTTCTGGTAGAATGGTGGGAGCAGAACTAGATAACTTTGAGAAATGTGGTAGTGTAGAAATGTGGTAGGAGAGAGATAGGATAGTACCAGAATTGGCTATGAGGGTCACAAGAAATATTTTTTAGGATTGAGAATGCTGTGGAGAATATAATAGGAAGTTGATATGGGTAAAGTAGAAAAATTGTCAGTCAGCAGCGATGGCCCGGCTGAGATATATAACACAAATTTGGGAGTGAAGGAGCTCAGTTTCATGATTTTTACAGCTCAGATGTGTGATTTGTCTTCAGCAGGATTGAGTATCCTTGGAGCTTAAGCAGAGAAAATCAAATGGTGGTGCTATCCCAGGGATGATAGTTCAGGCAGCTGATAGTGCAGTGGATAGAGCCCTGGGTCTAAGTTCAAATCCAGAGTCAGATACTTACTAGTTACGTGACCCTGGGCAAGTAACTTAACCTCTTTAAGCCTCAGTTTCCTCATTTGTAAAATGAGGATAATATTTGCACCTACTTCTCAGGATTGTTAGAAGGATAAAATAAAATATTTGTAAAGAGTTTTGCAAACCTTAAAGTGCTATATAAGTGCTAGCAATGGCAATGATGGTGATGATAGGTCAGCAACAGTAGAAGGTCACACCATAGTAAGGGATTCTAGGATCCTGGTTAATGGCACATTTAAGTGACTAACCATGGAGTGTCAGGGCTGGGTATGTAGGTGAAAAAGTGAAGCCAAAATAAAGAAAATGGACTTGGAGAATAGGAAGAAGGGACCAGAGGTCACAATAAGGGTTGGCGAGAGGAAAGGAGACTCATCTGAAAGTGGAGTTCCAAGGTTCTGATTTGCAATTCTAAAGAAATTGTGTAATCCTATGCTGATATGTGACTGAAGTGGGATGAAGAAGGAAGTCATTGGAGTTGAGAAAGTTTAGAGTGTGAGGAGGGTGGAAAGAGGGAGCTGTTTTCCAAGCTCTTTCTGTACTGAGCAGCCCTGCTAGGGCCTAAAAGTACCTGGGGCAGAGGGAGGAGGAGGCCCTCTTCTTGGGAGCAAGGGGACAGAAAGCTCATTGAACTGTTCCTAGGAGTTCCGAAAAAACCTGAAGGGTGTGAATGGAGGAAAAGATTTTGAGCAGGACATCCTAGAGGACATGTACCATGCTATCAAGTGAGTTTTTAATGAGGAGTGAGGGGTTAAGCCTTTTGAATTGAGAGAACCCATCCCCATCTCTTCCCAATGGTCTCTTGTACAGTATGTGACTCACCTTCCAGATGAGAATTAGTTCTCTGCCAATACTTCCTTTCTTGGGTGAAACCTTCTAGGACCCCAAAGGCTGAAGGATAGTAACTATTCCTCTTAAAGGGATCTCCTGATAATCCTTAGATGGCCTACAGAGAGACAGCCAGCAAGCCCAGCGTGGGGACCCCGGTCAGAATTAGGCCTAATTAATGACCTCTTGATCCAGAGAGCTCTTCTCTAATAGTCAGATTTCTTCTGGCTTCCTAGAAAGGTTTCTGGTATAATGGTAAAGTCTAGAAACTATTAGGCCCGAGACCCAGGGGGGAAAGAGATTCAAAGTCATGAAATAAAAGAGATTGTGGGGGAGAGGACCTTCTTTTCCTTCCTATCTAATGTCTCAGCAGTGAGTAATCAGACAAGCTGCAATATAATGAATGTGCTGGTGTGAGGTAGAACTGGGAGGGGAAGAATCCCTTGAATCAACTGGAGATGCTGGATCCTTGGGCAGGTGTGCCATCTTGACCTTGTCATTATACTCATCCCCCACTGGATTATAGGAATGATGAGATTGTAATGCCTGAAGAACAGACTGGTCTGGTGAGAGAGAACTATGTGTGGAATGTCCTACTGCATCGAGGTGCAACCCCTGAAGGTATATTCTTGCTGGTACCTGCTGGCAGCTATGATCATGACCTTTTCACCATGACCTGGGGTCCTACCATTGCTGCCCTCTCCTATGTCTTTGACAAGAGCCTGGAAGAAACAATCATCCAGAAGGCCATTTCAGGCTTCAGGTATCCACCTTGTCTTTTGTCTTGGCCCTGAAATCCTTCCCACTCTCTTGATAACACCCATTCCCCAACTGTCCTCACCTTGAGTTTCCCTGGGGTAGGTCACTTTAAGCTACTTCTGAGCCCATGCCTGGGAACCTCTGACCTGTCTTACTCTACTAGAAAGTCAGTTACATCTTCCCAGAGCTTCTTCCTTTGGGGGGAAGTTAAGGCTTGGGGGAACCCACCTTGCAGGTGGCACCAATGTGGGAAGGGTGTCATCAGGGGAGAACCCTGAGAAAGATCTTCCATGGTACTTGGAAAGGCACTTGGCCCTTCCAGTGACCCTGTTCCTGGGGTGGGGGATGTGGCTTTGCAGGAAATGTGCCATGATCTCCGCCCATTATGGCCTGAGTGACGTGTTTGACAATCTCATCATCTCTTTGTGCAAATTTACAGCCCTCAGTAGTGAGGTAGGTAAGGGTAGCAGGAAGACATTGAGGGGCACAGCATAGGAAAGCAGGAAACTACCTGAACCTGATGCCCCATGGAGGCAGGCACCATAGACACCCAAACAATAACTGGGGTTATTGAAGGCTTAACGTTCTCCAGTAGTTATGTACTTCACTCAGAATTGTCCCCATAGTATCCCTGTCCTTCACTGTTCACTGCAAGGTCTTCTGGGGGCTCTGGACCTCCACGTCCAGCATTTTCTGGGAGGGAGGTTTGAATCACTATTGCTTAAATGAAGATTGGAGGAAGAGAAAAGGAGTACATCTGAGGACTTTGAATACCCTGTGGGCTCCCAGGTATTATGGGAAGAAGGGATCAACTCAGAACTAATGGGAGGACCCAAAGGAGAAGTTAGCAAGTAAGCACCTAAGACACTCCCTAGACTTTAGCTAGGCCCTAGACTTCATCTTCTCTACCTCTTCAGTCCATTGAGAACCTACCCAGTGTGTTTGGGAGCAATCCTAAAGCTCACATTGCAGCCAAGACAGTTTTCCATTTGGCCCATCGCCATGGTGACATCCTTCGAGAGGGCTGGAAGAACATCATGGAGGCCATGCTGCAGCTGTTCCGAGCCCAGCTACTGCCCAAGGCCATGGTAGAGGTAACAATAGAGGGTTAGGGGACAGAAGTTGAGCACTAACTGCAATTTTGGAGGAAAATTAACCTGGGGGGAGGCAGAGCTTAGGACAGTGCCTTTCATTGGCCTGATGCTTGTTTAGTTGGCTTCAGTATCAGGGGACCATCAGTATATGATATTCCCCAGGAGGACAACTGGCAGAGGCATTGGAACTCAATTGTTCAGTAGAATGAGGCTGTCAGGAATGAAACTAGAGAACTAGGGTTGGGACTGGGTAATAAGTAAGGTTCACGTTAAGAAAGGCTGCCTTTCCTAGGTGGAAGACTTTGTGGATCCCAATGGCAAGATCTCTCTGCAGCGGGAAGAAACACCATCTAACCGGTGAGGGTAGGCCAGAAGCTCTGGGCCATGGGAAGGGAACATCCAAGAATTTGGGATTAACCTGAATATGTCTCATCTCTCCATCCTTCTTCAGAGGAGAATCAACTGTGCTGAGCTTTGTGAGCTGGTTGACACTGAGTGGTCCTGAGCAATCCAGCACGCGAGGTCCATCCACTGAGAACCAAGAAGCCAAGCGCATGGCCCTGGATTGTATCAAGGTACCTATCCCAACTGTCTTCTCACTGTTTTCTCCAGTGATTAGGTCTCAACTTCCTGCAGGGTAGGACTCTGGCTTTGTGGGATTTTTTTCCTCACTCCAACTCAGGCCACTGATTCCCTCCTCCTGCCATTGTAGCAATGTGACCCTGAGAAGATGATCACAGAAAGCAAGTTCCTTCAGCTGGAGTCCTTACAAGAGTTAATGAAGGTATGAAGCAGAAGACGGACAGTGGGAAGAACTAGACAGGGGTTGGCCAGTGGTGGTGGGGTGGTAGCAGTATGTTGTCTCTTCCCCTCTAGGCTCTGATATCAGTGACACCAGATGAGGAGACTTATGACGAGGAAGATGCTGCATTCTGCCTGGAAATGCTTTTGCGGATTGTGCTAGAGAACAGGTGAGACCAGGAGAAGATTTGAATCATGGCTGTAGGCCTGGATCCTGCACCATACTGAGGTCCTTTGTACAAACCCACTGTGCTTGGAGCTAGTACCGAGAGAATAGCAGTGCCTATGCAAGTAGGAGGGCCTATTGCTTTCCTAGCTGTACCAGAGCAACAGGACTCACAGCACCCCTATGTTCAACATCAATACCAAGGGACCCTAAAGGGATTAGTATGGTACTAGGGCATTGGAGGGATACCTAGTGCCCAAACTGGCCTCTGCTCCTTGCATTATTAACTCTCTTCCCTCTTCCCTTCTCGCCACATAGGGACCGTGTGGGCTGTGTGTGGCAGACAGTGCGTGATCATCTTTATCACCTATGTGTCCAGGCGCTGGATTTCTGCTTCCTGGTGGAGCGGGCTGTGGTGGGGCTGCTGCGCCTGGCCATCCGGTTGCTAAGGAGAGAGGAAATCAGTAGCCAGGTGAAGGGATCTTAGCCATCTGGAAGACAGGACTAAAGGAGGTGGACCAAAGGCCAAGTGTCATCCATGGGACTGTCTGTAGCAGAGACTACACCGAGTGCTATACTTCAAGGGGCTTGGAAATGATGGAAGCATAAATTGCTTCCTAAATGTTATGAGAAGACCCCTAGCAAGAATTCCCAGCTAGGAATGGTGGGGGGAAAGGAGGAGATGTCTGGAATGGCCTCAGTCATGGGGCTGGCATCCAAACCACCCACTGTGCCCCTTGGGAATCCTAGAGTCTTTGCTTTCTCTGACCACAAAAGGCCAGAGGAAGTAGCAGGGTACCCTAAAGGCAAACCATTATCATACTCTATTCCCAGGATAGTCAGGGCAAACAGGAAAGTAGAGGGTGAGTAGTGAGCCCTGTGCTCACTTCCTACCATTCCAGGTGCTGCTGTCCCTTCGTATCCTACTACTGATGAAACCTAGTGTGCTGTCTCGTGTCAGCCACCAGGTTGCCTATGGGCTCCATGAGTTGCTCAAGACCAATGCAGCTAACATCCACTCTGGGGATGACTGGGCCACACTCTTTACCCTGCTGGAGTGCATCGGCTCAGGGGTGAAGCCTCCCCCCTCCCTGCAGGCCACAACCAGGACAGATACCACTGACACTGGTGAGCCTTTCCTAAGGAAATCTGACATCTCCCAGATAAGCAGCTGTCTTTCCATTCTTGCAGTCTTCCATGGGTTAGAGAAAGAAAAACTCTAAAGAAAGAAAGTTCAGAGATTGCATTAAGCAAATTAGATACTTACATTTGCTAGCCTCCAACACTGCTGTCAACTCCCCAATGCTGCCCTTGGGTTAAGCCCCAGTGGGGTCGCAGACAATAATGGAAAGATCATCACAGATTTAGAGCTGGAAGGGTAACCTTGGAGGCCATCGAATTACAGATGAGGAAACTGAGGCTCAGAGAGGTTAAGGGTCTTGCCCATGGTCACATAGCTAGTAATTGTCTGAAGCAAGATCTGAGCTCAAGTTTTCCTGACTCCAAGTCTAGTTATCTACCTACTACATCACTTGGCTGCCACATAGAATGTGCCACAGGAATGATAAGACTTTCTGGAGACCAACTATTCTTCAATCCCTCCAGTGGTAACCCTTGTCAACAGGAGCCTGAGTCGCATTGGCCCCAAAATGACTAGAATAAAGGTTGTCTAGTCTATACTTTTGTCTTCTGGTGGCAGGACTACCTGAGCTAACCCAGACAGAGAAAAATCCTTTCCCATGGGAGAAAAGCCCATGATGTCCTTTAGTATTTTGTTCCAACATCTCCATCCATACCCTCATAACCCACCTGACTCTGCCTACATTCTCAGGTGCTCAGTCAGACAGTGAACTCTCCTCCTACCACCCCAGTGATGCCAGCTTGGACCGAGGCTACACCTCAGACTCAGAGGTCTATACTGACCATGGTAGACCAGGCAAGATGCATCGCTCAACTACTGATGCTGACGTGGTCAACAGTGGTTGGCTAATGGTAAGAAAACAAGGGACTGTGGGCTGTAGGATTCCCCATCCTGGTCTCAGTGGCTTCCCGGTTTTCTTGGGCCACAGTGAAGGGGATAAGTAGAGCCAAATCAGGCTCCATGCCAGGCAATCATCAGACTTCCTACCCACATTCATATTCTGGACAGGTGGGGAAAGATGACATAGATAGCTCCAAGCCAGGACCAGGACCAAACCGGCTTGGCCCTTCTCCTCTGGTGAATCAGTACAGCCTTACTGTGGGGTTGGACCTGGGACCTCATGACACAAAGTCCCTCCTCAAATGTGTGGAGTCACTGTCTTTCATTGTGCGGGATGCTGCTCATATTACCCCAGACAATTTTGAGCTCTGTGTCAAGACCATCCGAATTTTTGTGGAGGCCAGTCTGAATGGTGGTAAGTGGGTGGAGGAGGGAGAAAAGGGAGCTGCCTGAAAAGGAGAGGGGGGCGGGGAGTGAGGATTTATGTGAATATAGAAATATGGCCTGGGTCTCCGCAGGATGCAAATCTCAGGAAAAACGGAGCAAATGCCACAAATATGACAGCAAAGGGAACCGCTTCAAGAAGAAGTCTAAGGATGGCTCAGCGCTTCGTCGACCCCGGGCATCTAGCCAGCACACAACTCGTAGCGGACACAGTGATGACGAAGATGATGAAGGAGTGCCTGCTAGCTACCACACGGTGTCTTTACAGGTCAGTCAGGACGTAAGTATGGCGCCATTTATCTCCTCTTCTCCCTGTGCCTGGCTGTTGGGGAACCCAGCGGGGGGCCAGGGTAGGCAAGCTTGGGCTGAGAAGGGAGCCTGAGGGACAGACTTTAAAGCAAAAGAAATGGATATTGGAGTTGTCCTAGGAATAGGATGATTGATGGGGTAGACATTGTCCCTGAGGGGACCAGGTCTGGGGCGGTGAAGATGAAGTAGCCTAGGTCTCCTGGATCCTAGTCACAACTCCTTTCTCTGTGATGCCAGCTGCTGGACTTGATGCACACCTTGCACACACGGGCAGCAAGTATTTACAGCTCATGGGCTGAGGAGCAGCGTCACTTGGAGACAGGGGGCAAGAAGATTGAGGCTGATTCCCGGACCCTCTGGGCTCATTGCTGGTGCCCATTGCTTCAGGGTAATCCCCAAGGAAAATGGGGGGGGGGCTGAGGAGGCTGATTGGGATGCCAGCAGTGACCCTAACGCTCCCCCTGTACCTCCCGGCTCAGGTATTGCCTGGCTCTGCTGTGATGCCCGGCGTCAGGTACGGATGCAGGCGCTCACCTATCTACAGAGGGCACTGTTGGTACATGACCTGCAAAAACTAGATGCCCTGGAATGGGAGTCCTGTTTTAATAAGGTAACGGAGTGGAGAAGAAAGCCTGGGCAGCTTGAGGTAGAGATAAGAGCCTTCTATACCAATACTTATCTTATATGCCCCAGCCTACCCTCATGACATGTTTCCCTCCCACTCCCTTCCCCTACCCATTGTCCTGGCTCTTTAGGAGCCAAGCTTACCACTGACCTTACTTGGGGGGGTGGGATGTGGGTTGATTGACCACCAGGTGCTGTTTCCTCTGCTGACCAAACTTCTGGAGAACATCAGCCCAGCAGATGTGGGTGGAATGGAGGAGACTCGGATGCGGGCTTCCACATTGCTCTCCAAGGTATGATCACCTGCACCAGGCCCTCTCCCCACACTTCCAACCACTGCTCAAACAGCACTCCCTGGCAGATAGGGAAGGCAGGGAAAACAGTATCTCTCAGTGCCATATGTAACCTGAGGGCCCAGAAGAATCCTGAGCCTCACAGGAGTTACCCAAGTCAAAGGCCTATAAGGGAAACAGGCTAGACATGGATTCTTCCCATCCCTGGAACCAGGGATGAGGATGGTATCTTCGATCATCTGATAAGCCACTGGTGGGCCACAGGTATTCCTGCAGCACCTGTCCCCTCTGCTGTCACTTCCAACATTTGCTGCACTCTGGCTGACTATCCTGGATTTCATGGACAAGTATATGCATGCAGGTTCCAGCGACTTACTGGTATGGTCCCCTACAGCTCCCCAAGCTCCCCAAGCCGTGCTCCCTCCCCATTAAACTTGGCCTCTATCCACTGAGCCTCATCCCTAGCATATCCTCAGTGTGGCCTCTTTAATCTGTGCTCCTTCCACCTCCCCCACCCCCAAGCCTAGTCACTTTGCCCCTACCCTTCTGGGCTGTAAATTCCCGACTTCCTCACACATTTGGGAAGTGTTATCCAGTTTCCTTGTCTGAGGGCTGCTCTTTCTTGCCTCTTTCCCATCTGTTCTGTTTCATCCCTCCCCACAACCTCTCAGTCTGAAGCCATCCCTGAGTCATTGAAGAACATGCTGCTAGTGATGGATACCGCAGAGATCTTCCACAATGCAGACACAAGGGGAAGTGGTTCCTCTGCCCTCTGGGAGATCACCTGGGAGCGTATTGACTGTTTCCTGCCCCGCCTACGAGATGAACTCTTCAAGCAGACAGTCATCCCTGGTATGGAACTTGGGGGAAGGCCCTACTGAGCAACTTCTCCCTGGCTTCAGCACAGAGGACCCCTAGAGCTCCCAGAGAGCCTAAAAATGGATGGGGGCCCAGTGTCCTGGGTTGGTAGCCACTGGGAGCTAAGAGATACCATCTGAATTATAACTTTCCCAGATCCTCTGCCACCGGTGCCTACTGAACCACATCCCCAGAAATCCTTGACCTCTGCCCATGTGACTCCTGCTGCCAGTGACACAAGGATGCCCGGCCACACATATACTCCAGAGATACCCTCAGAGCTGGGAGCATATGGTGAGTCCCCTTTTTCTGGGGGAGTAAGGGGAAGAGAACAAGCATTTGTTAAGCTGTGCTACTCTTATTTGATCCTCACAACAACCCTGGGAGGTAGGTGCTTTTATTATTCCCCATTTTACATTTGAGGAAACTGAGGGAGACGGAGGTTAAGTGACTTGCCTAGGATTAGTGTCTGGGGCTAGATTTGAAATCTGGTCTTAATGACTCCAAGCCCAGCACTCTGTCCACTTCACTTCCACAGTATCCGCCCAGCTACCCCCAGGGAATTAGAAAACTATATACTGCATCAGCCAACAGTATAGTAGTGCTATCCAGAATGAAGTGTTAGTGAGGGGAAGAGGCCCTGTCCAGAGAGTAGTGCTGACCTTCTTTACCCATGAGGAGTGGGAGGCACCAGCAAAATATGAGGACTATGTAATTTGGGCTTTTCTTTTTTAATGGTTATAGAACTCAGAGTGGAAGAGTAGGGATTAAGCCTAGATGTAAAATGAACTGCCTGGTTGGTTAGACCCAGGAAGAAATGATTGAAGGAGGTTCAGCACTTCAGCAAGGTAGATTCTCACTTGTCTAGGCTGAAGCACAGCAACCTGGTCCAGATGCAGGGGGGGAAAGTTTGAGGAATGTGCCAACGTGGGATCTGAATATTGCTACATTTTCCCCCACAGACCCAGAGAAGCCTGAGGTCTCTGGAGCAGCTGCCAGTGGTTCTGGTTCTTCTACAGTTTTGACACCCAGCAAGCTGAGTCCTGGCGCAGACGGGCCTGTCCCATTGGCCCAGCCCCCCTTGATCCTGCAGCCCCTGGCTTCCCCACTGCAGGTGGGCGTGCCACCCATGACATTGCCTATCATTCTAAATCCAGCCCTAATTGAGGCTACTTCACCTGTGCCTCTGCTAACTGCTCCTCGCCCCACTGACCCTATGCCCACTTCTGAAGTCAACTAAGACAGGTGGTTGGGAAGATTGGGCCTATCCCTCCTGTCACACCACTGAGGGCTTCTCACCCTCTCCCTCTTCTGGTTGCACACTATGTTGATGCCACCCCTGGGCCCAGCCCAGCCACTGCTGCTGCTCTCATTGGAGCCACTGGGAAATTGCTGAAGGGAATGAGGGCAGCACTTCCTAGAGACATCATCCAGAGAGAAGGGACTTCTTCTGGTCATCATTTCTGGGAAACCTCACTGACGGCTGAGAAATCAGACTCGGGGCTCACCCAGAGCCCACCCCAGGCTAGCTCTAGTCTCTTACGAGTCCTGGGCTAACCCTAAAGGAGAGACTTCTGGGCATTAGTGCCAACCAGCCCTGTCCATGTTGCTTCTTGGCATTAGGGTCCCCTTCTTTGCCCTTATCCTTCGGTCCTAGCTCTGAGAGCTATACTCCAACCACATTGCACTTTGCTTCCCTTTCCTCAGACCTCTCCTCCCTCCCCATCAGCCCTGAGCTACCTCCTCCAGTTCTTCCTCCTTTATCCATGAGTTGGGTTAATTTGGGGAGTTAATTAGGGCCAGGGGACAGAGGTAACAAGGGGAGTTGCCTACAGGAGCATGTACATATGAAGAAGCTAACAATTGACTTTTTACAGTGTAATAAATGTAATAAAGCCCACACCACAGCCTCCCTTTCCCCTTGTACTTCACCTCCTCCCCTCCCCAACACTTCCTTTTCTGAGCCTGTGGCCTGACTTGACAGAGAAGGGACTAGTCCTAACCCATGGGATCCACAGGGATGGCTGAGGGGGAGAGAGGAAATAAAAGGGGACGCTGCAGCATTGTGACCCCTGTTTGGGAAGGAATTGGATGCAAAGACAAGTCTTTTTTGTGGCTACTCTGTAGCCACCAGTCACTTTGCCTGACTGCCCTCCTACCTGGGGAGGAGCACCACTAAGGGCAGTTGTACACTCCAAAACTGATGAGAGACAAGGCTGGAGCAGCGTTCATGAGTAATTGCAGCTCCCACAGGTTACCTTCCTCTACAGTCTCTCTGTTCTAAGAAGAAATGAGACAATGGGTGAACTGAAACTAGGGCTTGTGTTGCACAGGCATTATCAGACAGAATTAGGCCTTAATCCTTGCAGTCTACCATCACTAGGGCTCCAAAAGCTTAAGCCTAGGAACCAAGTCATAGCATCATAAGATGTCAAGTATGAAGAAACTTTAGGACCTATATCCCACCTCCTTCTACAGGGGCAGAAAACTGAGGCCCAGAAAGGTTCAGTGACTTGCCAACCCTATGACTTATCTCCTTGCAGAGGGCAAAATGGTATACAGATAAAGGTGCCTGAAGATTTTTCTCACCCCTTCAAGTCCTAGCCTCATGCTTGTGGAGCCTGGGTTTCAAATCATCATATCCACTGCCATAGATTAATGACTCACTTCTAAACTGCTAAAGTCTATTCCTGATACTTACCTCTCAATGCCTCCAGAGAAGAAAGAGCAGTCAAGTACCTCTGGGTACTTCCACATTCTTGCTATTTTCTGCCATTTTCCCTCGTTATTGCCCACCCCCCTCAAGGAGCACAGAAGTCAGCATCCCTGTGCGGGAAACCATATGCCCACAGTTATGGCTGTATTGTGATGGGGACACTGCCTCCCTATGATTGCCACTTCTAAGAAACAGCAGCACTGAATGCCTAGAATATCCTCCTTTGGGAGGGTGACTGTCAAAACATAGGTGGCAGGACAGAGCTAGAACTTTGAGATGCTAGCGTCTCACCTACGAAAATTTTAGCTATGCTCATCCTAGGCCCAGTGCCCCTCCTTTGCCTTAAGGGTCCTCTGACCACTCGTGCTTTAATCAACCATAGGGAGAGAAAACAAGGACATAGGCTGTGTGGCTGCCAAGGGGAAAATGTGGAGCTGCCTCAAGGAGATGGTGATAAGAATCTTAGAACTCACATTCTAAGGAGTTCTACAAGAATAGGAACTGAGTAGCTGTAGAGTCTGGCTGATTTCTTGCCCAGCATTCAATCAACAAGCATTTATTAAGTGCTTACTATATGCCAGGCACTGCTAAGCACTGAGGATACAAAGACAGACAAAAACTCTGTCCCTTACCTAAAAGAGGTCACATTCTAATGGGCGAAACAACATGCAAATAACTGCATATACAAGGAATGAGGTGGAGGCAGAGCCCAAAAGGCTTGCAAAAGATGCAATTTGAGCTCACCCTTCAAAGGAGCCAAGGAAACTAGAAGTTGGAAGTTAAGAGGGAGAGTACACCAGCCATAGGGGACAGCCAGTGTAAAAGTCTAGGCCCAGGAGATGGATTATTATGTATGAGGAATAGCAAACAGACTGGGTGTAGTTGGATTATAGAGTGAATAGAGGGGAGTAAAGCATAAAAAGATTAGAAAGAGGAAGGCTAGGTTGTAAAGGGCTTTTGATGCCAAATGGTTTTTATATTTGATCCAGCAAATAGTAATCACTGGAATTCATGGGATGGGAGGAAGGGACCTGGTCAAACCTACTTCAGGAAAATCACTTTGGTTTTAATTTTTTTTATTTTTTATTTTTTCCATATGCTTTTGAGTTGAAAATTTTTCTCCCTTTTCCTCCCCCCCACCCTAGGAAAATCACTTTGGCAGCTTAATGGAAGATGGATTGAAGTAAGGAGAGATGAAGCAGGTAGACCAGTCATAAGGCTATAGTAATGTCTAAGCAAGAAGTGATATAGACCTATAGAAGGATGTAGTTATGAGTAAATGACATGAGAAATGAAATACTGGGTGAAGACAAGTGAGTTGTCAAGGAATGACACTGAGGTTTCAAGCCTGAGTGACTGAAAGGGTGGTGGTACCCTCAAAAGTAGGAAAGTTGGGGAGAGGTGAAGGTTTGAGAGCAAGAGTTTTTGGATGAGTTTGAAATGTCTATGGGATATCCAATTCAGGATGTCCAAAAATCAGTTGATGATGTGGAACTAGAGCTCAGGAGAAAGATTAGGGTTGCACACATAAATCTGGGAATCATTTGCATAGAGATGATAGTTAAACCCATTGGATCTGAGGTTAATAAGCAATATAGCATAGAAAGAAGAAAACCCAGGGCAGCCTTATGGGATACCCAGCAAAAGAGACTAAGGAATGGCCAGAGCTGTGTTGCTAGCCAGGCCTAGCAACTTGAATTAGTGGTCCTTGTACTGGGTGACTTCCTGCTCCAGCCCAATACGCTGGGTCTTTCTGTGGCTACTGCTCTTTTGATCCCTAGCTGGCAGATTGCAAAGATCGAACCCTAGAAGTTAGAGAAGGTATCTGATGTGTAGACTCTCTGTTTTACTTACATTATTGAACTTGAGCCTCACCACCCTGTGAGAAAAGTACCACAGGCATTATTCCCATTCTAAAAGATTAGGGTCATGCTATCAGTGTCCGGTGGCGTTTGAACTCGGGTCTTCCTGAATCCAAGTCCAGTTCTCCAACACACTAACTGGATAGCTTCGTCCGACCAGAAGAAGCTGCCCTTAGATACCGAGATGAGAGTCCTCTCTTGGACGATGGGTGTCCACCGCCAGCAGGGCTCTTGCCCCCTCCCCCAACAATGAAGCATTTCTTTTAAGGGCCTATTACACGCGCTAGAATCGGGGCCCCGAAGACAAAAGTGAAATAATCCTTGACCTCCAGTTTACAGTGGTGAGAGGTGGGAGTGGCGGGGGAGAACAAGAGAATGGAGAACAAACTCCGTTCCAACACTTATTCAGACGATCGCCTTGCCCCGCCTCCTCCACGGAGACGACGCTCTGGCTATGGGCTCTGTAGCCTGGGCAGCGCGGACCTGATCTGGACGGTGCCCAGTAAACGAAGCAAATTAGGGTCGCACTCCACGATCCCGCTCCCCGATAGATGGTGCTAAAGCCAAAATACGGCGAAACTCACTTCCCCTCCGCTCCCAGGCTCTTCCGAGCCCGTAGGGCTCAGGACCCCGGGCTGGGGCGGGGTCCAGGGCCCCCTGGGGAGAAGAGGGCCTTTGGTTCCCAAGAAGCTTCATCTCCACTTCGCGGGGCTGGCCACCAGGGACAGAGAGGAGGCCCTCAGCCCAGGCCCCCAGACAGCACAAGGCGCGAGGGCGCGAAGCAAACCACCTAATGCCCACCTTTCCCGGATTCCGCCGAGGGGAAGGGGTGGGGTTCTCTTCCCTGGCTGGGAGGCGGAGATAGAATGAGAGGGGGTAGTGCTCTAAGCTCACTCCTCACTGGCTGGGCCTGCCGCAGACTAAAACTTTGAGCCAATGATAAAGAGGCCAGGGCGTGATGCGCCCTGACGTTATGGGAATTCCCCCCCCGGGAGGGGGGCCGGAAAAGGGGCTTTCCCGGTTGGGCTGCAGGTGGCCCGAGTAACACAGGGGTCGGAAGACTAGCAGAGGCAGAACTAACCGGTAGCGGAGTCGGAGCCGGAGCTGCAGCCGCAGTGAGTGGCCGGGGTCGTGCACCTGGGTTCCCTCAGTTCTCAGAGCACGGGTAGAGGGGCAGGGGCGGGGGCGGGACCCACACTCAGCCTTCAGACTAAAAGAACACAGATCCACACATGGGCGCGATCACATGCACACGTCTTACACACATATGCATTTCCACATAGATATTGACACACACTAGAGTCACAGAATGTAAGAGTCACAGTCGTAGGCACACATACGTGTCCACCGCACATCGGACATGTTCAAGTATACAGACACAGTGGCGTGTACACACTTCCACAGATGCGGATCCACAGAAAAATACACTGATACACGGATACACAATTGTGTATACACATCCACCCACACCGACACAAGTATGCTGATACACATAACCATATAATTTTAGCACGATTACGTAGACACACATGCGTGCTGACACACACAAATAGTTATATAGAGACAACTGGAGAGAAGAAAGACATCTTTCTCTGTTCCTTTAAGCATCCCCATAAATAGAGAAGAGTAGGGAAGGAGACTCCTAGGCCCAGAGCTAGAGCTGGGTGGATGCAGCCACAGGCTCCCCTCCCCCTAGCTGTCCAGAGTCCATGGGAAGAGTGAAGGGCACTATATCCCCAGGGACTTAGAGCAGGAGGTCCCCCAGAGGAGATGGGGCTCCCTACCAGAGGAATCTCCCCCAAAAGTCCCAAAGGCTGAATCAGCAGTCTCCCTCCCTCCCTTCCAGGCCCCAACAGATGACCTGCGGAAAATCCCAGGGGAGCCCCAGGCCGTGGGAGGGGAGAGAAAGAGAAGGAAGGCTAGATGGGGTAAAAGGAAGGGCAGGTTTGAAACCTAGGAGGGGGTAGGGGTGAAGACGGGAATCTCTGTGCTTCCAGATTTCACCACTGGCCTTGAAAGGTGAGCTCTAGACCAGTGCCCCCAGGTCCCCAATTAATATGCCCCTCTCTCCTACTGAAAACCTCTGCCTTCTCTTGCTCTATGCTTTCCCCCCTTCATCCCCAGCGATCAGCCCTTCAGACTTGGGAGCAGGGAAAGAAGTGTTCCTCTGATAGGGGGCAAGAGATTCCGACTCCACAGTTCCCCATGGAGCAAGGTTCTGTTCTGGGAGTGGGGAAGAAAAAGGAGAGAAGGAAGGGCCCCCTAGAACTCCTAACTGGGCCCTCCCTCTCTGGGCTGGACAAATCACGTCATTTCCAGGCCCACCCCCTCCCTTCGCCCCTCCTCTCTCTGGTATTTTCGGGACTTTCCTGAGCTGTTCTAACTTTCCTGCCCTCCCAGCCCCCGCCTGCCCACAGCTCTCTGGCTGTCGCCCATTCCAGCCTGGCAGGAGGAGGGACCCTCTGCCCCCCACCCTCAGGCTCCTGGCTACTACCTAAAGACCTGGCCTGAGGGGTGCCCCTCCACACCCACAAGCACAGGTAGGAGCCTTGGCGGTACAGCGGCAGCAGAAGCTGGACAGAGCCCAGCAGTAAACTATGGACGATTGCTATGGCCCAGTGAGTGCTAGCCCGAGTGTCTATCTTTGTAACCTTCCTTATTGCCAACCCTTTCTTTCTGACCCTGTAGGCCTCTGTCTATCTGTCCGTCTGACCATCTGGAGTCCTCTCTGTTTGGCTAATCCCCCAGACTCGGTCTTTCAGCGCGGCCTCCTCCGCTTCATCCCCACTTCACTCAGTCTTGTCTGTATAACAGCCCTGCCAAGCCCTATCCATGTCGACCCGCTGGATTCCTGGTCATCTCTCTACCCAAACCTGTTGCTTTCCAGGTTCTTGCTGATGTGAGCTGCGGTCCCTTACTCCCCCTGTCTCCAGCTCTGGCTAGTCCCATGCCTCTCTTTCTTGGTTTGTCTGACCACTTCTGTTTCTCTCTCAGAGTTTGTGTGATCACTCTAAGTGGGGGGAGGGAATAGGTGATTTTGTGGGAGTGGTCACCTCCCACTATTTCTATCCAAATCCAGGGTCTGGATGGCATTGATTATGATGATTTCCAATTCAACTCTCCAGTAGTGGATCGAAGAGAACCCCCAGAGGAGACAGGTCTGTATGTCTCCACTAGTCCCTCCCCCTTTTCCTCCTGAACTTCCCAAGGACTCCTAGTCCCCTTTATCTCCCACCACGCCAGTTCCCACCCCTGCCATCCAGTTGTTTGTTCCCCAGGCAGTAGAAATATAGGACCTTCTGCCAGAGTTGGGGTGGGTCTGAAAAGAGATCTTCAGACCCCTGGCTCAGACATCCCCCCTCCATCCCCAGGTGAGGGCCCCTATCTGGTCATCGTGGAGCAGCCCAAGCAGGTGAGGGCAGGAAGGGGCACCAGGATGGCTAAGGGGCTTTGCCTTTCTCCAGTTTCGGGGCAGGAGTGTTTAGGGAGTGGCTAGAGGTGATCACTGGGGGGGGGGGTCAGTGCAGATCGGGTATAATCATGGCTATTTTCTGATCCTCAGCGTGGCTTCCGCTTTCGCTATGGCTGTGAGGGCCCCTCCCACGGGGGGCTGCCTGGAGCCTCCAGTGAAAAGGGTCGTAAGACATATCCTACAGTTAAGGTAAGCAGAAGAGAAGGCCAGGGGGACTGGAGAAGAGGGGCAGGGAGCCTGGAAGGGAGGTGACTGTCCATCTGTGGCAAATATCCCTTCACTCATCCTCCCCAGATCTGTAACTACGTGGGACCAGCCAAGATTGAAGTGGACCTTGTCACACACAGCGATCCACCCCGTGCCCATGCCCACAGCCTGGTTGGGAAACAGTGCACAGAGTTGGGTGTTTGCGTGGTGTCTGTGGGACCCAAGGACATGACGGCTCAGTATGATGTCCCCATTCCCATCCTTTTCCCCACCCCTGAACTTCTCTGAGACTGGCAATACTTCTGCTCCCCACCTCCAGTCCCATGGTTATTGAACCTTCTTCTTCATATGCTTAATTCCCACGCTTGGCTGTACTGGAGTGAGGGATCAGGGAACAACAAGGTAGACTCAGGCTTTGATTTAGGGAGATCAGCACCTTGGTAGGAGTAAGAGAAGGAGCACACTTAAACCCGACACTAAGAACCGTCTGAGGGGGCAGGGACAAGGGGAAGACTTGGCCCTAACCAAAGAGATGAGATTCACCTTAGGAATATAATGAAACAGAGCAATGAGTGCTCTGTGGGTTAGAGCAAGCTGCTTGCACTCAGGGCTCTAGGATTTCAGAAGAGGCAGAGATCCCAGTGGGTTGGAGGAATCAAGGAAGCCTGCCTGGTGGAGGTAGGTGGTGAGCTCTTCATTTAAGGATGCAAAGGATTTGGACAAGTAGAAAAGAAGGGGGAAGACGTTTCCTGCCCAGGGAGCAGCTTGAGCCCTCCACTCTTTTTCTTCTCTGTATCTGACTTCTCACCCCTGACCTCTTGCAGGTTTAACAACCTGGGGGTCCTGCATGTGACGAAAAAGAACATGATGGAGATCATGATGCAGAAGCTTCAGAGGCAGCGACTCCGCTCTAGGCCCCAGGGCCTCACAGGTATAAGCACCATGGAAAGGGGAATGTATGTCTGGGGCTATAGGAAGGTAGAGAGAGGGGGAGGGGAGAAGGAGACAGGGAAAGAGAGAGAGAAAGAGAGAGAGAGAGAGGAGAGAGAGAGAGAGAGAGAGAGAGAGAGAGAGAGAGAAGGAGGGGGAGAGGAAGAGAGAGAAAGAGAGAGGGAGGGAGGGGGAGAGGGAGGGGGAGAGAGAAGGGGAGGGGGAGATAGAGAAAGGGAGGGATAGAAAGAGAAAGAGAGGGGGGAGAGAGAGAGAGAAAGAGGGAGAGGGAGAGAGGAGGGGAAGAGATAGAGAGAGAGGGAGAGATAGAAAGAGAAAGGGGGGGAGATAGAGAGAGGGAGGGAGAGATAGAAAGAGAGAAGATAAAAAAGATCAAGGGCACTGGCAGGGCACATATAGTGACCTGAGGATGGAGGGGTCAGATAAAGGGTTGGGATCAACTGAATACACGTGCAACTCTGCTCACCACAGAGGCCGAACGCCGGGAGCTAGAGCAAGAAGCCAAAGAACTGAAAAAAGTGATGGACCTAAGCATCGTCCGGCTCCGCTTCTCTGCCTTCCTCAGGGCCAGTGATGGCTCCTTCTCCCTCCCCCTCCCACCTGTCATCTCCCAGCCCATCCATGATAGCAGTGAGTGACCAGAGCAAAGTTAAAGGGGGGAAGGGGGATGGGCAGCAGAGACCAGGGGCCAAGGGGGGAGTTTGGAGGGCATGATGCCTGAGCTGGGCGTTCTGTTGAGATGATCATTTGTTTCCCCATAGAATCCCCTGGGGCCTCAAACCTGAAGATCTCACGAATGGACAAGACAGCAGGATCTGTTCGGGGTGGGGATGAAGTTTATCTTCTCTGTGACAAGGTGCAGAAAGGTGAGATCAGAGCCAGGGACTGGGACACCCAGCAAAAAGGAGGACACCGTGGGCCTCAGCTGGGCCCCAGGGATGCCAGGGGGCTGCTCTTTGCAGGAGGCTTTGGACAGGGCTGTAAGCAAAGAGGGACAAAGGGAGCAAGGCCTGGTTTGTAGGGAGCAGGATTCTTCCTTCTCACCACCACCCCTCCCCCTCCCCCCCCCAGATGACATTGAAGTCCGGTTCTATGAGGATGATGAGAATGGCTGGCAGGCCTTTGGAGATTTCTCTCCCACAGATGTTCACAAACAGGTATCTTCACCTAGAAAGGGGGTGGCATTGGCTAGGCGGGGGTTTGCAGGCCGTGCTGAGAGCCTGCGTCTCCCTCCCCCAGTATGCTATTGTGTTCCGGACACCGCCTTATCATAAGATGAAGATTGAGCGTCCAGTGACCGTCTTCTTGCAGCTAAAGAGGAAGCGAGGAGGGGATGTTTCTGACTCCAAACAATTTACCTACTACCCCATGGTAGAAGGTAGGACCCAGGAGGGACTCAAGGAGCACAGGCTGCTTTGGGGTTAGGGTTGAAGAGCGTCACAGTGACCTTGACCTCCCCCTTCACCCCAGACAAAGAGGAGGTTCAGCGGAAGCGGAGGAAGGCCCTACCTGCCTTTTCCCAGCATTTTGGAGATGGCTCCCACATGGGTGGGGCTGGAGGGGGTTCAGCTGGAGGCTATGGAAATGGAGGAGGAGGTGAGAAGGTCCTGAGGATTCTGGGGACTAGGATGTCCTATAAGGGAGGAGGCAGATGAGTCCATATACAGGGCCGAGAAGGGGTAGGCTCCTGGTATCAGGCGTGGGAAAGGGAAGTTTGGGGAGGGGACCATCCTGTGGCCATTTTCTCAGGGCTCATAATAACTATCCCTGAGACCATCCATTCCCCTGTTGACCATTCCTTTCAAAGTCCCTGCCCAGACTCTCCCTCCACTGTCCATCCCCTCTGATTGCCCATCACCCCCTCACTGACGCACACTGACAATCTGCCTTCTCCCCCTCCAGGTGGGGGTCTCAGCTTCTTTTCCACCTCCTCCCTGAACTACAGCCTGTACTCTCCTGGGGCTGCCCCAGTGGGCAGTTATTCTGGGGGGGCAGGAGTCCAGATGTCTGGAGAGAGTGAGGGCACAACTGATGGTGAGGGGGAAAAACAGACACACCCGGATTCCCCTGGCCGTCCCCCACCCCACGGACCTCAGGCGTTAAAGATGCTACAGGAAGGTATGACTCCCCCTCCCCACACCACCCTCCCCCTGCCCCCACACACACACACATTAGAGGAGGAGGGGGTGTGGAGGACCAGGGAGTCGGATAGCACATTGCGGAGGGGTGGATGGGCACGATGCCCACCCTCCATTTCCATGACCTTATCCCGCTTTCCTCCCCTTCCCAACCAGCCCGGCAATACAACCTACGCATGTTTGGGCTTGCCCAGCGCAGTGCCCGGGCCTTGCTGGACTATGGGGTTACAGCTGATGCCCGAACCCTTCTGGCTGGGCAGTGTCACCTGCTGAGGGCCCAGGATGAGAATGGAGACACGTATGAAGCCAGGGCAGCCAGGGGGATGGGAATGCATACGTTGTTGATGTTGGGCCAGGGAAATGTTAGAGGTGGGGTTGGAGCAGGGACAGATTAGGACAAGGTTGGGAAGCTGGAGATTGGGTTTTAGGCAGGAGGTTAGCAGACTGCGAATGGTATTGGGACTGAGCAGGAGTCAGGTGGGCAGGCGGGCGGGTGGTTGGTGGCTCAGTCTAATTCAGGACAAGATTGTGGTTGGCCTGGGCTGCAGAAGCAGATTCTCCAGCTCCCTGGCTCTGTCCACCAGGCCTCTACACTTGGCCATCATTCACGGACAGACAAGTGTCATCGAGCAGATGGCTCATGTCATCTTCCGAGTCCCCCACCTTGGCATCGTCAACCTCACCAACCACTTGAACCAGGTATACCCAGCGCTGGGCAGGGAAGAGTGGTGTGACGAGGGCAATCCTCCCTACAACTGGAGGTGTGCCCTAACTTACTTTTATGCTCCTAGACACCTCTTCACCTGGCTGTGATCACAGGGCAGAGCCAAGTGGTCAGCTTCTTATTGGACATGGGTGCTGACCCGACCCTGCTGGACCGGCATGGAGATTCCGCCCTCCACCTGGCACTGCGGGCAGCCAATCCTGGTCTCCTGCAGGCCCTCCTTTGCCATGCAGGGCCCGCCCTTCCCCAATTGCTACTCATGCCTGATTATGAGGGTAAGTACCCCACCCCTAACCCTGTGGAGGCATCCCTGGAACGTTGGGATGGCATCAAGGGGATCCTTCACCCCAGCTGGTGGGAAAAAGAGAACCATGACAGGGGAGAAGGGTTCTGTATGTCATTTGAGGATAGGGGCCAGGGCTCACCATGCCAGGCTGGAAGGGAACAGACCTCTGTGCCTCCTGGGGCCAGAAGCAGGTGCTCCCTGTGCTTGGCTGGTGTCCATCCCAGGATTCAGATCCTGAGTCATGGCCATCCCACAGGCCTCTACCCAGTGCACCTGGCAGTGCGCGCCCACAGCCCAGAGTGCCTGGACCTGCTGGTGGGCAGTGGGGCCGATGTGGAGCTGGCGGAACGGCAAGGTGGGCGCACTGCCTTACACCTGGCAACAGAGTCCGAGGAGCTGGGGCTGGTTAGCCACCTCATCACCAAGGTCAGTCAGTCAGTCTGTTACCAAGCATTGATGAAGGACTTTGTGCCCAGCATTTCACTAAGCACTGTGTAGTGCTCTGTGTGTAGACACACAGAAAGGTCCCTGCCTTCAAGGAGCTCCATTCTACCGGGGAGGGGGTGGCCACGTGCAAACTGGAGGTGACCTCAGAGGGGCAGCACCAGCATTAAGTGGGCCAGGGGAAGACTTCCTGTAGAAAGTGGGATTTGCAGGAAGCCAGGGAAGGGAAGCCAGAAGGTAGAGATGAAGAGGGCCAGCTTTCTAGGCATGGGGGACGGCCAGACAAAACGCCCAGAGTTGGGACATAGAGTGTCTCGAGGGAGGAATGGCAAGCAGACCAGTGGTGTGTAGAGGCCAGTAAGTCGTAAGAAAACTGGACAGATAGGAAGGGGGTAGATAGTGTAAGCCTCAACTGTCCTTCCTCTCGCCAGCTTGGTGCCAATGTGAATGCCCAGACTTTTGCTGGAAACACACCCTTGCACCTGGCAGCTGGGCTGGGCTCCCCAACCCTAACCCGTCTGCTACTCAAAGCTGGTGAGTGCCCTTGACCCCCAAAACTGCTCCTGGCCAGTTTCTCCCTGGGCTCCCTTTTTAATCCTGACCTCCCCTGGTGGGGACGGATGTATTTCCTGGCCTTGGGGGCCACAGGGCTCCTCCTGTGCCCCTTCTGACTACGCCCTCTCTGCCAGGAGCCGATGTACAGGCTGAGAATGAAGAGCCCCTCTGCCCACTTCCCTCACCTCCAAACTCGGGCAGCGACTCAGAGTCAGATGGGGCTGAGGAAGGAAACGGAAGGAAATATCGTGGTCACACACCCCTAGACCTGACCCGCAGTGCTAAGGTACAACAACCTGCAAGGGCAGGGATGTTTGAGGGGCAGGCAGGTGGGTTTGGGATGCACAGTTGCATTTCTGAGATACCCCCAACTCTAGGTCAGGACCCTGCTGCTGAAGGCTGCTCAGGAGACCACAGAGCCTCCTCTGACTCCCCCAAGCCCCACAGGTAAGACCTATGCTCCCCATCTTCCCGACCTTTCTCTTCACCCCAAGGATGGGAAGGGGTGTAAGGGCCCACCCAGGCCAGGCCTTCCCTCCCTACCTCCTCTGCCCTGACAGCCACATGACTGGGTCACTGGAAGTGTGTCTATCTACCGCAGGCCCTGGACTGTCCCTGGGGACCACAACCTTGCAGGGCCTGGAGCGGCTGTTGGACGGACCAGGTGGTGGGGGAGACTGGGCTGAACTAGCAGAGAGGCTGGGGCTGCGCAGCCTGGTGGACACGTATCGCAGCACGGCCTCCCCGAGCGGCAGCCTGATTCGGAGCTACCAGGTCAGAGTCTGGGCTCCACTACCCCGACACCTGCCCTGCCATACCCTCAGTGATCCCACCCCAAATTCTCTTTCCCTTTTCCTCTATCCATAGCTGGCCGGAGGAGACTTGGCAGGCTTATTAGATGCTCTGGCCGCCATGGGACTGGATGAGGGTGTGCGGCTACTACAGGGAACAGAGCCCAGAGACAAGCTTCCAAGCACAGGTAAGAAGCAAAGGAGTCAAAGCTGGGGAGCTTTGGGGGAGATTCGAGGAGTTACTTGGGGGTCAGTGGCTCTACACTTGTGTGAGGTCTACTTACAGATGGGACCCCAGGGCAGCAAGCACTGTGATGGTCTTAGGGGGGTTCTAGGTTCTGTGGTCTGGGCTGGCTTTGGGGGAGACACTGGACCCTCACCTTCTTCCTCTTTCCCTCCCCAGAGGTGAAGGAGGACAGTGCCTACGGCAGCCAGTCAGTGGAGGAGGAACAGGAGAAGATGAGCATGGTACCCACGCCTCCTGGGGAGCTCACCCACAGGCACCCCGAGGAGCAGGTGCACTGATACCAACCACGCCCACAGCACGGGCAATGCTTTGTCCAGCCCCGTGCCTGCCCCTGGAGGCGCCTGCTGTACAGATACCCCCACCTGTGCCCGCGCCCTTATTTAATGCCCTAATTGGTCCTTCGGTTCTGATGAATAAAGGTATGTGAGGGCTGGGGACCCAACCGCCCCACCCTAGGACACAGGCTTGAATTCTCTGTTCTCATCCCCCACCCCATGCATCACATGACATGTCTGTAGCAGCTCCATGGAGGCACTGCCATATGGACACAGGAAAGAGGCAGGACGTAGCCGGGGGCTCCAGAGCAGATTTTAATTGTGTCAGGGACTATACAGAAGGTGGGCTTGGGAGTGGCAAAAGTACCAGAAGAGGGGCTTTGGGGTCACTGCCCCTCCCCCAGCACCCCTGCCACAAGTCTTATGTACAGGGGGCGTTGAGGCCCTGCCAGAAACTGCATTATCATCTGGGGGCCCTGTGTCCACCCCACCCCATTCCAGCTCCAGGATGAGAGAAAGCCCTTGTGGGTGAGAGAGAGAGAGAGAGAGAAGGGGAGGAGAGGAGAGGAGAGAGAAGAGGAGAGGAGACAGAGAGAGAAAGAGAGGAGAAGAGAGGAAAGGAGAGAAGAGAAGAAAGGAAGAGAGGAGAAGAGGAGAGAAAACCAGCTCGGCCTACAGCTGAGGGCCCAGAGAGACAGGAAAGCCTGAGAGATTCAGGCCTCCCATACCCCTGGGGATGCCCACCATCCCCCCAGGACAAGGCCCGAGACAGGGGGGATTGCTGGTGTCTGGGAGAGGGGTCCAGGGGGCCCAAATAGAAAAGCAGGAAAGTGGGGCCCCCCAGCATGTGCCCTCCCCCCAAAAAAAATGTCATTGAAAGGTCCCTCCCTCAACCCTCCCACCACTGAATAAGAAAAAGTGCAAAATGGTATCACAAAATGGGGAGCCTGGTGGATGGCCCCAGCCCCTGGGGCTTAGCTTGGGCAGCGTCCACGGTGCCTTCGGGGCCCCGCGTCCGGCGCAGTCAGGCCCTGGCTGGGGCAGGGTCAGAGGTCATGCAGGTGGCCGGCTGGCGGTCGCTGGCCCCTACCCACGGGTCAGGGTTTCTGCCGCCCACTGCCCCCTACCCGGGGTTCAGGACCAGAGCGGTGTGGCCTGACGTGTGGAGGTGGCTCGGGCTGCAGAGTGGGGCTGGAGCAGGATGCAGGGAGCCCATCTTCAGTGACCCCTGGCACAGCCTGGCACAGCACAGCCTCCACGGCCTCCATCTCCTCACTGCCCGCCTTCAGCTTGGCTCGGAGCAGTGCCGCGTAGGTGCCATAGCGAGATTTCTGAGAGAGAGATAGAGAACGGGGAGATGGGCATGTGAGAACCACCCCTCAGTTCCCCAGCCCCAGGAGGATGTCAGAGCCTGGGGCCCATCGCTGCTCATGACTGGTTCTCTGGCACTTCACCAAAGCTAGCTCTGGGTGGTAGCTGAGGGCCCAGAACTGAGGCCGTTCAGGAGACCTCACAGCCATCTCAGGGGCTCAAGCCCGAGTGACTGGCCACGTTGAGGGCCACATCTAAAGGGCAAGAGCCATTTGTAGGGAGCTGGGGGCTGGGCTAACAGTCTCACAGAATGTCCCTTAGAAGCCATCAAGCCCAATCCCCTCATCTTGCCCATGAGGAAACTGAGGCGCAGAGTTCACATCTGCCTGCGTTCACATAGTTCCCTGCACACAGGGCTCTCTCTCTGCACGCAGCAAATGCTCAATAACTCCTCGCCAAACTGATCTGAGAGGGGTTGGGGTGGAGGGGGTGGGCTAGGGTTAGCTCCTGTGTGACTCTGGGTCTGAGGGGCTCCTTCAGGGGCGATGAGGATCACTGAGGTGTCCAGTCTCCCCGCACCTCAAATTCCAGGTAGGCTTCCTTCTGCCGCTGCTCTTCGGCCTCCTTGCTCTTCCCTTTCCTGTCTGGCTGCTGCTGGTGAGCCCTGTGCTCCCGAAGCTCGGACACCATGGCCCTTAGTTTGGCTTCGTGCGTCCTCACCTGCTCCTCCTGCCCGGGGACAGGAAGGACCACTGGTATCAGTGGGGCCTCCACATCCTCCCACCGTCCCACATCCCTCAGGGCAGAGAGGGCATTCCTAGATGGAAAGATCGGGGTACTTCCTAGAAGACTACAGAATTTAGAGCCAGATGGGGTGTTGAGGTCAAGTCCAAAACCCCCTTGTTTTAGGAACTGAGACCTGGGGAGAGGAAGAGACCTCCACCCAAGGGACGGGTCATGATACAGGCAGGCTTCAAACCTTGGGGTCCTCGGACTCCAGATCTAGTTCTCTCTTCTCTGAGGGGAGGAAGTCAGGGGAGGAGAGGGCATTACCTGGGAGAGGCGGGTGGCAGAACTGGGCAGAAGAGGACGACTGAATTTCTTCTGAGAACTGATGGCAGCTGGAAAGGGGGGGGCAGAGAACATGGCCGCCACCACATTGATGCGGGTGATCCAGGAATGCATCTGCTCCAAGCTCCTAGGGTGGGGTGGGAACAGGTCTCTAAGGCCCGTGTAGGAGGCCCCCCCTAACCACTTCTTTCCAAGCTGGGGGCTGTGCTGACTCAGCCCCGAGAAGGACTCTGAGCCTGGCCAGGGTCAGGTCTCTTGGGTCTGGGGGCTCTAGACTGGACGTGACTAGGTCTAGGGCTGTGACTCACTGTGCCTGGAAAAGGAAAACCCGCCAGTCTGCCGTGCGCAAGTAGAACACGTGAGGCCTCTTGCTGTAGTCACTGGCGCGAGTGGCCAGGGCGTGGTGGATGCTGATGGCGTTTTTCAGTTCTTCTTCCACCAGAGCTGTGCCTGGCTGGTACTCCTCCTGTCAATGCAGACAGCCATACCCAGGCACAGACACAGCTCAGGCCTGCCCCAGGCCCTGCCCCATCATCCCCCAGCGATCTGGCTTTCTCACTCTATGTTTTGAGTACACACATATCCTCCAGGGCAAGGGTCAGGGATCTGGATACACTGAGAAACCCCAACCAGGCCCAGCTCTTCCCCTGCCCTCCCCTCCCCTGGTTCCACCCCATTCCCTGGCACCTTCTGTAGGTAGAGGATCATCCCCTTCAGAATGCCATGGAAAGCCTTCCAGCCACGCTTCCCTCGGGGTGCTGGGGGGAGGGTTAGGAGAAACAGATTCACAGACACGGCCATGGAAGAGGAGAGTGACACGCCCCCCCAATCTTGTTCCCACCTCATTCAGCTCGACTGGCTGAAATCCAGAAAAAGGACCCTGAGGGGGACCTGGGTATCCCCACCCTCATCCCAGTGTTCCTCTCCCCCCTCCCCACGTACTCTTCCTGCAGTCAGGATCCGCGTGCACCTTGCGCACCAGGGGGCCATGTTTGTAAATGGCAGCACCAGGCTCTGGGGACAGGTCCAGGAAAGGGCTGGAGCCACCACCACTACCACCACTGACCCTCTTGATGACCTTGGGGTTTGGGTCAGCCAGTTCAGACAGGGAGCGACGGAGTTCCTCTTCATCACTGCAGGACAGTTGTCTCAGTCTGGGAAGTATCTCTCTGGAACACCCCACCACCTTCCAGCCTCCCTGGGTTCCTGCCAGCTCCAGCTATGAGCTTTCTCCCCCTAGAACCATCCTTAGCCAAGGCTTCTCCCTTAAACCAGAGACTGTCTGAGGGCAGGGGATGAGCCTCCCTCATTAAACCTGAAACCTTAAAACCTTACTACTTGTAGAACAAGGCCTCACACATAGAAACTGTGCTCAAGGAATCTCTGTCGAGTAAATCAACGGCTGGACTATTACAAGAGCTTAATTGTGGATTCCCTAGCTTCAGTCTTCCCCTCTCCAAATGGTCCTGCACAAATTGAGTCATCTTAAAACAGTTTTTCACTCTTCTCCTCAAGACTGTTCAATGGCTCCCTGATGCTTATTACATCAAGTCCAAACTTCTCTGACATTTGAAGCCCTCTTCAAGCAGACCAACCCAGTTCATATCCACCATATCAATTACCATCTCCCTGGGAACCATACTGAAGAATCTGGGAACAGCCACCAAGTCTCCTACTCATCCTTTACCAAGATGGTAAGGGAAACATTTAGCAACAGTCTAAGGATTCAGTTGTGTCCACTGAGGGTTCAGTGTTTTCAGATACTGTGCATCATCACTACTGCTGGAGACCTTTTTTAATGATGAAGGAGCAGAAGGGATGGGCGCAGCATCCTTGTATCTCCTATGACTGCCTGGCCAAGCTGTCAGTGAGCATTAGTTCAGTCAGCAACACCAATTAAAATGATTAAATCTACAGCTCTGCCAACCAATGACAACACAGGAAGACTAACAGATTCTAGCCAGGGCTTCCTCCTCCTCCTCTTCCTCCTATTCTCTTTCTTCCTATCAGAGAAGGAGGCAGTTAAGGAAGAAGGAAGGAACAATCTGACATATGGCAATTTCCATCTGGGGTCCAGAGCAACCAGCAAGAGACGTTGGGGACAGGAAGAAGAAAGGAGAGTAGTGGTCTCTGGCCCCTTTAGATGAGAATATGTACTTTAGACGCCTCTTATTTAAGGACCCATAACTGCTTGTTGGTCCCATTAGTACAAAATTCTTCCATTTGGGTCCCTTTCCTTGTCTCTTTTTACACCTTTTTCTTGCCTCTCCCTTTTCTTGTCTCTCTGAATGCCAGCCCTCCTCCTCCAGGTATCCAAAAGTAACATCCTTCAAGACAAAGCTCGAAACTCCCCTCTAGGAACACTGGGAAAACTCATGGTCACCCTGGCTTATGGTGAGCTTTTATTCCCCTGAGCTCACAGGTACTGACTTCATCACACAATTGAGCAAGCTCAACTAGTTTATTCTTTACTGGATCCATGTTCATTCTTTCCCTCAACAAATGTTTACTGTGTAGTAATTATGTAGAGGCTAAGGCAGTTCACAGAAGTAGAAGGGACAGTCCTAGCAAGATTAATAGCAAGCAAATAAGAATATAGTACTTAAAGCAATAAAAAGAAAGAGATTGTTTCCATCTGGGCCAAATCAGGGAAGACCTCATGGAAGAAGTGTCATTTTAGGTGGAACTTGAAGGATGGTAGAATTTTTTTTAAGCAAGCAGAGATGGGAGGGATAGCACTCCAGACCATGAGGATAAGTATAGAACTGAGAAACCATAGATTGTGTTGGGAGATAATTTGCCTACA